GGAACCTATCTGAAAACCATATTCTGGAGACTTGTTCATGTACATGAAGCTAGAATGATAGTTCTAAAACCAATACTTTTTATTCCGTTCGCAAAAAAACAAAAAACAAAAAAAAAACTCTTTAGAACTAACAATATGTCAGATATCCTGGATTTAGATTTAGCAGAATGATTGAGTGAATAAATATGATATGATATGAATGAATGAATATTGAAAATGCATGAGTGCGGATCTCGCTGACCGGACTACAGCGAATATGATTCTAGTTACTCCGAACAACGATGGTATGGATCTCCTGGTTACAAGAAAAATCTTTTGATCGCTGACCCAAAATGGAGTTAATTTACGTATTGTCCCAGCAAAAACATAGTCAAGCTTTCCTTCATTTGAACTATCCTTTCTGTGCTTCATCCCATTAGAAACTCTTACGGCGACCTTTTTTAAATTCAAAAACGTCATTTTTATCGTGAACACACTGAATGCCATGCTTGTTTTTGATCGACTGACAGGGCTCTCATAGAAAATGATCTAGATGAATCCTAGATGCGATCGGTTCTCACGCTTTTTAATAATCTCCGAGCATAAGGAAACATACTCTACCACTTTGACTGATGGAGAAAAAGAAAATATCTCAAACGAAAACGCAAGAATAAGTACAAAAAATCTTTGATGTCGTTTTATACGAAGTAGTGTTTGGTATCAGGCGAGACTTCATTTTGTTAAATCCGGGTCATAACGACACTTTTTTTCATTTTGTTAAATCCGGGTCATAACGACACTTTTTTTTTCATTTTGTTAAATCCGGGTCATAACGACACTGTTTTCATCTGGTTAAATCCGGGTCATAACGACAATTGCTTTCATTTGGTTAAATCCGGGTCATAACGACCCTTTTCCAATTCTCCTCATCCGCGAAATATGCGGCTTGGGATTGGACAACTTTTGAAGCCGTCAGGAGTTCCATTACGATATCGTTAATTGAGCGATCGACTAAACACCCCCCTCCACCTCCACACACACACACACACACACACACCCGAGATACTGATGTAATATAAAATGCATACCGTAAACTTATATATTTTGGTGAAGCTCAATTTTTGTGTGTTTTTACATTAAATATTACTATATCGTGTACACTTGAGTTCGTGGACAAATATTGCTCAATAAAGCTACTTGACATACTAAATGACAACAGTTCGTGGACATATCGATGAAAATAAATTCCCCACGAAAATCAATGATTTTTCAGTATTATTTATGTGTCTTCCATTAGAAATTTGCCATGTTACAACTGCACAAGAGAACATGGAATGGCGTTCCAGTTCTCTTCAAACCACATTGACAGTGTTTTTACCTCAACATAAATCGTACCTCGTTTTTGTTTGTTCAATTATCTACACCTACTAGTCTCAATATACTCTTTTCCTTTGATTGAACTTTCAGACTGGCGATTCCATTCGGAGCTACTCACTGTCTAAAAACGTTTTGTGTTGATCGTGACCATGTCCGGTAAATTTTCAGTTACCTCGTGTGAATTGAAATGAAGCTAAAATGTGTTTGTAGTATACTTCGTGGTTTCGTTTTTGTTTATCTTATTTTTTGTATGAGAACATTATCTATTTAGATTGACCGAAATTTACACATTTACACTTCCGGAACACCTGGGGTCATACTCGTGAAACCTGTTATGCTCAAATATTATGCTAAGAATCAAATACCTTTGGTGATAAATCTTAACAATAAGAACTTTATGATAAAAAATACTATATTTAAAGGAATTTCGGAAATATTTTTGATGTTGATGTTTTTCTAAAATGCTATTGAACGAGTTGAGCGAGTCGAGTGATTTGGCCGGTTGAACACGGATTTCATGCTTGAGCATGAGGATGGGTTAATGAATATGGGGCCAGGTCTTATTATTAGGAAACTTTTTCTCCCGTGTAAATCTTTTAGTTAATATTTTTCTCGTTTCATCGAATTTGAATCCATATTTTGTTAACAGATCAGTATTTCTAGTATTTGTGCACGACGAGAATAGGCACGAGACACACAAACATTCCCTTGCTGGTCCTTCATTTTACTATACGATCACCTTGTAATGGGTCAATTTCTTAATCATAAAATTATCGGACTGGTTCAGTGCTTGTTTCTTTAACAACCTTGACCTAGAGGCTAACTGACCTGGTTTACTGGCCATCATGGCGATATTTATCCATCTGTGACCTTGAACTTGGTTAAATGAGTTATTGTGACCTTGGTCATAGGCTACATCTAATTATTACGGTAATTTTAGTCATGACCTTGACTTTACTGATCTCAAAACATCCATGACCTCAACATTATTTACCGATATCAAATGCTTGTTATTTACTGCCAAAAACTTATTTCTGTATAAAATCTTGAATTATATTATTAGCAATAAATAACTAGAACCTTAAGCCTGCCTATTTATCCTGATTATGATCTTGACTAAAAGCGGCGATTACCCTGATAATGATTAACCTTGGAAGTACCTGATCCCAGCTAATTTTTAAATAGATATTCCTAATTATGTAGATATACTGTACTTCAATGACATTTATCCGATACAGACCAGAGCCATGATAACCTTGTGATGTCAGCTAATTTACACATGATCCTAATGACCTTTGCCTTACTGACTATGCTTGTTTATTTGTAACAATGGCCACAATGACATTGACCTTACTGATCTAGTCTGATTTGGAACAAATGCCATAATGACCCTGACCTTATTAGGCTTATTCGTATATACTATTTTTATAATGTCCTTGACCTTACTGATTTAGGCTGTTTTTACCATAACTTTTACAATCTTTGTTTAACAAAATTGATTTAATTAATCTGTGTAAATTGTTGTTTATGATTGAATCAGCTCTACAGACCTTGACAATTTTCATCTTGGTAAAAAGCAGAAAAAAAAACTTAAATGATGACCTCAATGACCTCAACCTGTTTAAACAGAGCAATTTTTATCATGTCCTAAGTTGGGTTTTGAGCCACTGCAGGCTGACCAAATATTGACCTTTATTATGATGTTTACCTGTTAAATTTTACCCTGAATTCCATAATGGGTTTAGCAAACAGCCAGTCTTTTTTTTTATTTAGGCCAATTGCTTTATCAACCTTGATGTCAAAATTTGTCAACGTTACCAATGCAAGTTGTAAACACAGCAACATTCCTCTTGATTGCACAGTCATAAAAGGAACAAACCATGACAGGGATCTGAAGATTTAACACATTTGACCTCTATAACATTAAATATATAGTTCAAGGTTATTTTTAACAAGCTTTTTTAACAAAATCAGAAGGACAGGGATTTGGCACAAATTCCCGACTCATTCAAAGAAAATCCACAAAGTGTATCAGCTGTATACCACGCAGATGTAATAATTGATGGAAGATATTATGTGACCCTAAAAATAAGTCATTATTTCTTCACAATTGGACAGCCCTTCATTCCAGCTGTTAAAAGTAAAAATAACATTACTTATTGATTAATAGAAGCTATCTCTGAACACAGCATTTAAAGCTAATAAAAAATATTGTCCCACACATCTCAACAATAATGGGATTTTCAAAATGTAAATATCTTTTTTCATTCAAAAGATCACCTTAAAACACACCTTAATTATCTGCGACAGTTTAATATTGACTGGAAGAATACAAAAACCATGTTTCAATAGCACTTTAAGAAATGATTAATTTAAAGTGTCTGTTTTGGCATTTGTTTACTATTTCTACCTTCAAGTAATTCCAGTCATCAATCACAATTTAAAAGTGTATAGGCAACTAATCGAAAAATAACACGAAGAATTAAAATGAAAATTCATTTCAATTTTTCCAAAAACTCTAAATGTATTTGTAAATATGGAAGTGTGAAATGCATTTAAATGTTTTAAGATTTGACATTTTGATGTATGAGAGCCTATTAACAATCAATAAAGCTCTGTTGTTTATATTGCTTCACGCTGTTACAATGGTGCAAATCCTCGTAAAAATCTGACAATCCAGAAAGTTAGACATGATCTATAAGACAACGTGAAACGGTTTCTTATTTCTGAAGTCCCAGATACACAAAAACACTAATTGAAAATCAAACTACATTTTGTAGCCCAAACAATTTATAATTTTCCGGAAATGCATTGAATCTGTAACCTTCTATTTTGTTTTGCATATTTATGCTATTGATAAGACCTCATTTGTTAAGACATACATATAAAATGCTTTAATTTCTTTTTAAAAATCCATTTTTTGATAAGTAGTGTAACATTGAATTTCTATGCCAATTTCAACAGTCCACCAGTTTCTGATAAGCTACACCCGATGAAATCGGTCAATTCTACATTAGCTATTTATCACATTACCTGGTTGTAATTCCAAAAATGAACCAATAGTGTTTTTCTTCTTTGACATATTCACACTCTGCAGAAGGTGGTCTTACTCTTTATTTCTATAAAGTTTATTCTTTTTTTCCCCGTTGTTTCAACTACACAAAAAACAATATTAGGTAAACATATTTTCTGATACACTAAAGGATTTTTTTTTTTATCCCTATTATCCCTATTTATCCAGTTCCTGAAAGTGGTTACCCTTATTTGATACAAAACTAATTCCCAGCACCCAAAAGGAATCTCTTGTAGTTTATTTGTTCACAAGTGACCATCCCACATAATGAGGGAGTACAATTTTTAAGACTTGCTTCTATTTATTAACCAATCAAGCTTCATAACACCCCTTCTGTTACCAAGGTAATAGACTCTTCATACAACATAAAATCCTCTTTGGTTCATAACTTTCTATACCAGATAAGTCATACTGAAAAAGTTTTATTGGAATCTACACATTTGCCATTTTAGGGGCGCATGCTTCATTAAAAATCACTTTGTTACCTAGGTCATCATATTCTACATCTTGACACCATTAACCTGTATTTTACCTGGCAATTACCAGTATTTACATGCGACCTTTTGTTCTGGTTAACATAGGAAATACCACAAATAAAACAAATTCTTTCAGGTTCATATTTATATTTATATATAGATGAAATCAATATGGATGGTATTAGCTCTCAAACCACTTGGAACTGGTTTTAGCTGATGAAAATTTTTGTTTATATCTGTTGACAAGTTTATCAAAGTCATCCACCTTTTGTTTGCTTGAGTGTCTTTTCTTTTTCAAAGGAGGGCCCTGAAATAGAGAATTACAAGAGTCAATTTTCTGTTGAAAAATACACGATAAAAGCATTATTACACATTAATTTCTAATCAGTGCTTAGTTTGCCTTTATAGCAGGGAGATATCAAATAATTTACAAACTGGATGCGACATTTATCTGGGTTGTATAAGGAGAGGTGAAATCAATATCAGCTCCTACAGGGTCAATGAGAGTGATTAATAAATATAAACTTAAAACTTGTTTTGCAATTGTTTAAAAAGTTTAATGCAGAGGATGTAATTTATAATATCTAGTCAATAATATACCAGATAAGTATCATATCTAGTCAGTAACATACAAGATATGTATTGTATCTAGTAAGTAACATACAAGATATGTATCATATCTAGTCAGTAACATACAAGATAAGTATTGTATCTAGTAAGTAACATACAAGATATGTACCATATCTAGTCAGTAACATGCCAGATAAGTATTGTATCTAGTCAGTAACATACCAGATATATATCATATCTAGTCAGTAACATACCAGATATGTATCATATCTAGTCAGTAACATGCCAGATGTTTCCTATGTTATCAGTAACATGCCAGATATGTATTGTATATAGTCAGTAACATGCCAGATATGTATCATATATGTAGTCAGTAACATGCCAGATATTTATCATATCTAGTAAGTAACATACTAGATATGAGATCAATCTAGTCAGTAACATACCTGATATGTATCATATCTAGTCAGTAACATACCTGATATGTGGTATATTAAATCAGTTACATACATTTGATATATGTTATATCCAGTCAATAACAAATGAGATGATACATAACTGTTATCATATCTAGTCAGTAACAGAGTAGATATGTATAATACCTAGCAGTAACACACCACATAGAACTGATTTCTCCCTTACAAATTATTGTTGCCCCTTGTTACAATGCTAGCAGTTATCCTCCAACCCCTAGCCCTACATATTGTCTCCCCTTCAAATAATTGTTGTCACTTCATAGCCATGATAGTGTTGTTTCCCCAACCCTGAACCTAATAGTAATTGTCTCTTTTTCAAATGATTGTCACTTCTAGAATCAATGCTAGATTTATCCCTAGCCCCTAGACCTAACTGTGATTATCTCCTTTCCAAATGATTGTCACCCCTTGAGACCATGCTAGCATTGTTCTTCCAATCCTCAGCCATAATTGTGATTGTCTCCCCTTAAATAGTTGTTACTCCTAGAGACCATGCTTGTGATGTTCTTCTTACCCTGAAACTTATATGTGATTGTCTCCCCTTCAAATGATTGACACCCCAAGAAGCACCTTGGGTAATGCTAGCATTGTTCCTACAAACCAAGTCCCCATCTGATACCACCACCACAACTTAAACTATTTGTCTCCCTTCGTACCTGTTCTAGAGGTTCTGTGTATTGCCGTTTGATGCTGGTAGGTTTCAAATTCACTGCCTCTCCCTGTAACTGCTTCTGTCTTAATTTCTTGGCTTTCTTTTTCTCTTTTTTCTCTAACTCCAGCTTGGCTGGTCGAGGTTTGTGCCGCACCTTAGGTCCCCAATGAGATGGAAGGCCTTTTGGCAGTTTTTTCTCATTAGCATCATCATCATGTTGAATTTTACCAATAAATTTATTTGATAATTTGTCTTTCATTTTAGGTTTCTGGTTTTGTTTTTCTTCTCCTTTCCTTTTGTTATTCCCTGTTTCTGTCCTGGTCACAGCATTCTCCTGCTTCTGTTGCAGTTGTGCTTGTCTTGCCTGCAAAACAAAACATAACTTGTTTAAAGAAACATCAGCTTTGCACCACTAAAATACAAAATAACCATAAATCAACTGATTTTCTGACAGATATCTACTGTGACTTGCTAAAATAAATATATCAAATCTGTAGCCACATGGATTTGGGAATCAAACATCTAACAACAGTGACATGGGAATCAAAATTCTACTTTAATGGACTGAAATGAGATATTAGTTCTGTATTACACAGGGACATGGGAATCAGAATTCTAGTTCTACTTTGATGGACTGAAATGAGATATTAGTTCTGCATTACACAGGGACATGGGAATCAGAAATCTACATTGATGGACTAAAATGAGATATTAGTTCTGTAGTACACAGGGACATGGTAATCAGAAATCTACATTGATGGACTGAAATGAGATATTAGTTCTGCAGTACATAGGGACATGGTAAGCAGAAATCTTCTGTGATTTACTGAAACAGAAACATGAGTTTCATGGTCACTCTTAATTACATGTACACCATGTAAGCTGTGCCCCCATGTTGGTCTACCTAAGGCTGAAATGTGTTGGCACCTAGCTGTACATGCAGAAGAAAATACAATGTACTGTTTGGAATCCTGGCTTCCGGAGTTTCTCCTTTTCTCTCATTTTTTATTTATTTTGAAATAGAAACAATTCTTTCAACCCTACATATTAACACTCATCATATTAATTAATAACACTGAATAAGTATTACAAGCATAGTGTCCAGTTATACCTATTAAGTCACAACTGTTCAAAATTAACAATGCAAAGGTAGAGCCAACGTGAGTTTGAATAAATTGGTTGATCAGTTGGGTGCAGCATGTTGGGTCTGGATACTGAAAGGTATGCAGGGCAATGAAATGAAATACCAAATTTGGATCAATTTTTCAAAATCTGATAATGTGTTCATTGAAACTCCTTTCCAAGTATATAAAATTGATCAATGAGGATACATCTACAGGATCAATACCTTATGTCTTTCTATTTTCTTCTCTTTTGCCTGTAGAGCTGCCTTGTTTTCCAGAGAAAATTCCACAATAAGACGCTGTAAAATATGTGAAGAAGTGAGAATCAAATTTTGTTTCAATATCATTACAACCACACAGCATCAATATGTCAAAAAACAGTACTTGTATGTCAAACAACAGTGTCAGTATGTCAAACATTAGAGTCGGTAGGTTAAACAACAGTGTCAGTATGTCAAACATTAGTGTCAGTAGGTCAAACAACAGTGTCAGTATGTCAAACATTAGTGTCAGTAGGTCAAACAACAGTGTCAGTATGTCAAACATTAGTGTCAGTAGGTCAAACAACAGTGTCAGTATGTCAAACATTAGTGTCAGTAGGTCAAACATTAGTGTCAGTATGTCAAACAACAGTGTCAGTATGTCAAACATTAGTGTCAGTCGGTCACACAACAGTGTCAGTATGTCAAACAGTAGCATCAGTCGGTCACACAACAGTGTCAGTATGTCAAACAGTAGCATTAGTATGTCAAACAACAGTGTCAGTATGTCAAACAGTAGCATTAGTATGTCAAACAGTGTCAGTATGTCAAACCGTAGCATTAGTATGTCACACAACAGTGTCAGTATGTCAAACTGTAGCATCATTATGTCAAACAACAGTGTCAGTATGTCAAACATTAGTGTCAGTAGGTCAAACAACAGTGTCAGTATGTCAAACATTAGTGTCAGTAGGTCAAATAACAGTGTCAGTATGTCAAACATTAGTGTCAGTAGGTCAAACAACAGTGTCAGTATGTCAAACATTAGTGTCAGTAGGTCAAACATTAGTGTCAGTATGTCAAACAACAGTGTCAGTATGTCAAACATTAGTGTCAGTCGGTCACACAACAGTGTCAGTATGTCAAACAGTAGCATCAGTTGGTCACACAACAGTGTCAGTATGTCAAACATTAGTGTCAGTCTGTCACACAACAGTGTCAGTATGTCAAACAGTAGCATCAGTCGGTCACACAACAGTGTCAGTATGTCAAACAGTAGCATCAGTAGTTCACACAACAGTGTCAGTATGTCAAACAGTAGCATCAGTAGGTCACACAACAGTGTCAGTATGTCAAACAGTAGCATCAGTAGGTCACACAACAGTGTCAGTATGTCAAACAGTAGCATCAGTAGTTCACACAACAGTGTCAGTATGTCAAACAGTAGCATCAGTCGGTCACACAACAGTGTCAGTATGTCAAACAGTAGCATTAGTATGTCAAACAACAGTGTCAGTATGTCAAACAGTAGCATTAGTATGTCAAACAACAGTGTCAGTATGTCAAACAGTAGCATCAGTAGTTCACACAACAGTGTCAGTATGTCAAACCGTAGCATCAGTAGGTCAAACAACAGTGTCAGTATGTCAAACAGTAGCATTAGTATGTCAAACAACAGTGTCAGTATGTCAAACAGTAGCATAAGTATGTCAAACAACAGTGTCAGTATGTCAAACAGTAGCATTAGTATGTCAAACAGTAGCATTAGTATGTCACACAACAGTGTCAGTATGTCAAACAGTAGCATTAGTATGTCAAACAACAGTGTCAGTATGTCAAACAACAGTGTCAGTATGTCAAACAGTAGCATTAGTATGTCAAACAGTGTCAGTATGTCAAACCGTAGCATTAGTATGTCACACAACAGTGTCAGTATGTCAAACTGTAGCATCATTATGTCAAACAACAGTGTCAGTATGTCAAACAGTAGCATCAGTATGTCAAACAACAGTGTCAGTATGTCAAACAGTAGCATCAGTATGTCAAACAACAGTGTCAGTATGTCAAACCGTAGCATTAGTATTTCAAACAACAGTGTCAGTATGTCAAACAGTAGCATCAGTATGTCACACAACAGTGTCAGTATGTCAAACAACAGTGTCAGTATGTCAAACAGTAGCATTAGTATGTCAAACAGTAGCATTAGTATGTCAAACAGTAGCATTAGTATGTCACACAACATTGTATATCAAACAGTAGATAGAAACATCCTTCAAGATCACATAAACGATAATCAAAACCATTAAATATAGGAGATTCTACAACAAAAACACATCAAAGTTTTTCAAAAAAAGAAAAGAACCGGTCCTTGAATTCAAATAATACTTGACTGTGAATGCTGGTGGGAACTTCATTTTTCTTCCAAATTTTCAACACATATCCTAAAAACTCTACTAGAGGCTAAAAGTTAGGTAAGTTGTAGACTGTTTTGCAGTTATGAGATGAAATCATTTAACATTTTACAATTTCTAATTACTTTTTCAGAAAATTCATGTCATATATTTGTAAACGAAAAATATATCAAGAAAAACTAGATGATGTTCAAATGATAATCGAGATTATTGTGATTTTAGGTTCAATTCCTCTGATGAGTTTTATATAAACTAACACCAAGAAGGGACACAAGGAGATGTGTTGGACAGACAAAGGTAACAATATATGCCCCCCTACCCCTTTAAAATTGGGATGGTGATGGGGAGGAGGAATATGCCACCTTGTTAAATATAAGCTACATTATGGGTATCTTCAATTTAGCTTGATTAGTGAAGTGTAAGTAAATAAAACAAGGGGTCCCAGATTCAATTCCTAACATAGTGGTAAATATAATGAACAGTGATACACAGATTTAAAGCAGAAAGGGAAAATTTTATTAAAAAATCAATTTGAAAGGTAATGCTTCTATGCTTGTATTACATCAGTCTGTGCATACAAACACATCATTCCATGAAAGTACAAGTGAACTTTGTTATTTCAAAGTCAGCAGGACCATTGGAAAAATTTATCCGAATACAATTTAGGCGAGATCAAATGCTTGGAGAAAAGTTTGACTGGCACAGAAGAAATGCTTAAATTAGACAGGGTCTTCAAGTTATATGAGATTGAGATAATAAGGTTTGATTGTATGAACATAGAAACCTTCTACTTACTCGTTTTTCCTCAAAGAGATCAGGGTTATTATTTGCCGTTCGGAGTGCCTGCAAAGCATGCTTGTGCTCGGTAAAGTTGACAAAGCCATAGCCCTTGGATTTGGCTTTTCCTTGGCCGTTTACTCTCTCTAGGTCTCGCATGATTCGACTCTGTAAGCAAACAAGAGATCATATAGGGATCTTAGTGCCAACCATTGTCTTGTCTTTATATAAATTCTTTAAAACTTGGATCTGTCCCTTCTTTTTATTCTTTTCTGCTTTTGGTCTTAATTACAAAAAATTTCAAACTTGTTCATAAGAAATAGTGAAACAATTACAATAATCTTTATCTGCAAAATCCAAGATGGCCACCTGTAAGATATTTCAATTCTCTAATCAGTTTCAAAGTCGATGGGGCACAACTAATGACCCAGGGAAACCTGATCGGTCCTAAAATCAAAAGGACACAACTAGAGACCAAAGGTAATGTACGTATAAAATTTCAGAAAGATCCATTCAGTATTTATCAAGAAATAGTGTAGCAAAAACTGCTTAAATTATCATGGACAGATGATAAATGAGTGACGAACCACCAACATATGGTGAGTTGAATAGCTCATCATTTGTGATGAGGGTAAGCTAATAAAAACAATCATTTGCTTCAAGCCTCTGATAGTCAAAAATCATATTAAGAAAGGATAAATTCTTAATGGCAAACGAGTCATGAAAGAGCTTATCAAAAGTGAACATGTAGCAGTTTTCAATCACTTTAAACAGTGCCCCCTAAACTTTCTATTATACATATTGTAATTTTTTTGTTTTTGGTGGTAAATTTTCAACAGATTTACCAAAAGCTTTCAGCAGAAGTGAAAAAAATGAAGGACAACGGCTTTGTCTATTTTATTTTTGAGGTATCTTTCTTGCCATGACTTTATTCCATCCTCGTAAATAGTGAAAATAGAATCCCTTGAAAATAATAACTTTTACTGAAAAATACAGTTTTAATCAAAATTGATTTTAAATTAATTTTAGTCAAAAATTAATTCAGTTTTATGAAATAAAGGCAGTTTCTTAATCACAAAATCTGCATTTAAATAAATCAAACAGAAAAAAATGTTTAAAAGATATTTTGTAGATTATACCAATATTACTGTAAAGCACCTGTTATCTGACCTCGCCATACCTCGTTAATGACAGCTGTTCTGTCAGCAGCAACCTTTAAGAAGACCTTTCTGAGTTCCTTGTCTGTAAGCTGTAAAGGTAGGTTCCTGACACACAGACGAGTTGTTGAGATAAATATATTGGGATTTTTTAACTTTTCTCTTTTTATGTTCTCCACCTGAAAGTAAAGCACAGATCTGACAAAAATTTTCAGGTAAAGAGATGATATTCACAATGTATATCTTATTGCTAAAGAAAAAAGATGAAACTGTCAGTTAAACTGTAAGGATTAATACAAGTGGCTTTATGCATCCAAGCATTGAAAACAAATCATTGAATCTTGCACACAGAATATCTTATCTTATAAATTTTAAAAAGTTGCTTTGCAATGTCACTTCTATTTGTGAACTTGAATTGGGATGATGTTTTTTTTCTCTCTGAAATTTGACCTCTATATGTAAACTTTATTTTGGATGAAGTTTTTTTTTTCAAATCTTGAACTGTGACCTTTTATCATGAACTTGACTTTAAATAAAAGTTCTGAAATATTTTCCTCCATGGTCTTGTCTTTGGTGGATGCTTAAAAAGCTGTTTTTGTACAATCCAATATTTAGAGAAGGCAAAAGACATGAGTCACTCTCTATTCAATAAGTCAAAGGAAGTGTTATCATAGAGAGGAAAAGTGATTTACATAATACAACTTTTACTTGAATCTAAAACTTTTACTGTTTTTTATAAACAATCATACCTTCAAACGTTTCTGAAGATCTTCTTTGGACAAGCCTTCAGCTGCCTGTGTCCCTGGCCGAATCACTACAAAATACACAGAAGTAATTAATATGACATGCAAACTTCACAACAGGTTAATTCTAAATCTTTCATGAAATGATATTCAATCAAAAATATCAATATCCGTAACTACATCAACATTTTTCTGTATTTTTTTTCAATTGTTTATATCATTTGGGTATTCCAACAGCTCAGTTAGTTAGAATGTTGGCCTGTGTGCTTTCATGTCAATATAAAGAGGATTACACTATGTTTTATAAATAATAATCATAATCTGACAGTAAACCTAAATCTGAATGTAAATAAAGACAGAGAATTATAATTCCTTGCTGCTGACTTCTATCATCAGACTTTTATTCTGCTTATTTTTCCATGTGATATTTCTGTATCTGTTACCAGAGTAAGGTACCATGGAGCTTATTTTTCTATATGATATTTCTGTATCTGTTACCAGAGTAAGGTACAATGGAGCTTATTTTTCTATATGATATTTCTGTATCTGTTACCAGAGTAAGGTACAATGGAGCTTATTTTTCCATGTGATATTTCTGTATCTGTTACCAGAGTAAGGTACCATGGAGCTTATTTTTCCATGTGATATTTCTGTATCTGTTACCAGAGTAAGGTACCATGGAGCTTATTTTTCCATGTGATATTTCTGTATCTGTTACCAGAGTAAGGTACCATGGAGCTTATTTTTCCATGTGACATTTCTGTATCTGTTACCAGAGTAAGGTACAATGGAGCTTATTTTTCTATATGATATTTCTGTATCTGTTACCAGAGTAAGGTACCATGGAGCTTATTTTTCTATATGATATTTCTGTATCTGTTACCAGAGTAAGGTACCATGGAGCTTATTTTTCTATGATATTTCTGTATCTGTTACCAGAGTAAGGTACAATGGAGCTTATTTTTCTATATGATATTTCTGTATCTGTTACCAGAGTAAGGTACCATGGAGCTTATTTTTCCATGTGATATTTCTGTATCTGTTACCAGAGTAAGGTACCATGGAGCTTATTTTTCTATATGATATTTCTGTATCTGTTACCAGAGTAAGGTACCATGGAGCTTATTTTTCCATGTGATATTTCTGTATCTGTTACCAGAGTAAGGTACCATGGAGCTTATTTTTCCATGTGATATTTCTGTATCTGTTACCAGAGTAAGGTACCATGGAGCTTATTTTTCTATATGATATTTCTGTATCTGTTACCAGAGTAAGGTACCAGGGAGCTTATTTTTCCATGTGATATTTCTGTATCTGTTACCAGAGTAAGGTACCAGGGAGCTTATTTTTCCATGTGATATTTCTGTATCTGTTACCAGAGTAAGGTACCATGGAGCTTATTTTTCCATGTGATATTTCTGTATCTGTTACCAGAGTAAGGTACCATGGAGCTTATTTTTCCATGTGATATTTCTGTATCTGTTACCAGAGTAAGGTACCATGGAGCTTATTTTTCCATGTGATATTTCTGTATCTGTTACCAGAGTAAGGTACCATGGAGCTTATTTTTCTATATGATATTTCTGTATCTGTTACCAGAGTAAGGTACAATGGAGCTTATTTTTCCATGTGATATTTCTGTATCTGTTACCAGAGTAAGTTACCATGGAGCTTATTTTTCTATATGATATTTCTGTATCTGTTACCAGAGTAAGGTACCATGGAGCTTATTTTTCTATGTGATATTTCTGTATCTGTTACCAGAGTAAGGTACAATGGAGCTTATTTTTCCATGTGATATTTCTGTATCTGTTACCAGAGTAAGGTACCATGGAGCTTATTTTTCCATGTGATATTTCTGTATCTCTTACAAGAGTAAGGTACAATGGAGCTTATTTTTCCATGTGATATTTCTGTATCTGTTACCAGAGTAAGTTACCATGGAGCTTATTTTTCTATATGTTATTTCTGTATCTCTTACCAGAGTAAGGTACCATGGAGCTTATTTTTCTATATGATATTTCTGTATCTGTTACCAGACTAAGGTACCATGGAGCTTATTTTTCTATATGATATTTCTGTATCTGTTACCAGACTAAGGTACCATGGAGCTTATTTTTCTATATGATATTTCTGTATCTGTTACCAGAGTAAGGTACCATGGAGCTTATTTTTCTATATGATATTTCTGTATCTGTTACCAGAGTAAGGTACCATGGAGCTTATTTTTCTATATGATATTTCTGTATCTGTTACCAGAGTAAGGTACCATGGAGCTTATTTTTCCATGTGATATTTCTGTATCTGTTACCAGAGTAAGGTACCATGGAGCTTATTTTTCCATGTGATATTTCTGTATCTGTTACCAGAGTAAGGTACCATGGAGCTTATTTTTCTATATGTTATTTCTGTATCTGTTACCAGAGTAAGGTACCATGGAGCTTATTTTTCCATGTGATATTTCTGTATCTGTTACCAGAGTAAGGTACCAGGGAGCTTATTTTTCTATATGATATTTCTGTATCTGTTACCAGACTAAGGTACCATGGAGATTATTTTTCCATGTGATATTTCTGAGTCTGTTACCAGAGTAAGGTACCATGGAGCCATTTTCATTGGCTGGGCCAGTCAGAAATAGATTGTGATGTCATAATAATAGAGTGACAATGGACAAGTCAGGAACTGAAAATGGTGCAACAAAATATCTGTCCCTGTTTGATTTTGTTCTCCACAATTTCACTTTAAAACCAGTAAAAATGTAAATTTTCTGATTTATGTGATGAAACATATTTTGAAATATGCTTACTTTTCACATGAATTTCATGAAACTTGTCTGTTTGCTCTCTAAGGCTTGTAAAAATGAAAATTACAAAGACTTGCTTTGTGAAATCTCATAGGAAATGAAAAACCATTTGAAATCCTATATATATACATAAATGTCACACTTGCCTGTAGTGTCAACAGACATTAATACACTACAAATTTTTGTACACAAAACACATGCAGGTGGATAAGGATGGCCTTTCTGCAGACAATCAGTAGATCATAGCAGAGGATTTCTTTTTCTAGTGACAGTCCAGACAACAAACTGTACTGAAAATACTGTATCATAATTGATCTGCTAGTGTACTGGAGATACAAGACAAGATTGTAAGTGCACTGGAGATGATTATGGTAAATTCCTGGATCATGTACTCCTAGTTCACTAGAGATAAAATGGACAACCATGATAAATGCCTGGGTTACATACTGCCTTCTCTTGCTAAGTGCAAGTTTCTTTTATCCTCCTGTTTTTTCTTCTCCACCTGTTTGAAGTCCTTTGCCTTGTCCCGACTCACTGCCACTGCAATGAACAGCTTCCTGTTGTCCACGGTGATTCCCCCATCCTACAACACACAAAATCAGTTATGATATGTTGCTAACATAATAAGTAGCCAAATGACCCTGTAATGCTCGCTTGCACTTTCATTTATAGCTTTACAGCTTGTCATTCTCTCAGATCTGAATTTTTAAGAATCTCAGTCAAAATGTAAAATCAAATTTTCAACAAATTGAAATTTCACAGTCTTGAGAAAGCAAAATATTTAATTTTCACTATATTCAGCTGTCAAAAATGGCAGAATATTTCACAGCATCATAAACAAATCATAAACAAATTGTCTTTGATATGTGAGGCCACTGGCCTATATATAAGCACCAGCCTGAGCTGACATTTCCTTACATATGCCTTGTTCTTAGTGTGTAGTGTATATCACATTTTTGAAAAACAAAAACTTCCTATAAGTACGCATGTCATACCCACATATTTACCATACCTCAACAACTTTAAAAATTTTAAAATTATGTTAATATTAGTAGGTATTGGATGAAAAAAATTTCAGGAACTGCTTCTGGATGATACAGATATAACAGCAGTCTTGAGTTTTAGTTTATATCACGGATAACATTTTCATGTGTCATGTTATTTGACAAATTGAATTTTCCTGACCACATCAATTACCCATTTTGATTAATACCTTTCCCAATTCGGTCTGAAATTGACAATGAAGAACTATTCACACGGCACTGGTTTAATCAAAACTCACCCTGGATTCATCATTAGCTTTCTCCAGACACATTTTGGCTGCTTCTACCGTCTTAAATTGCACAAATGCCATGCCTGTTAGTCAGAGAGAAATTACAAATGATCATAACATCAATGAAATGCTAATGTACAAATTAATGCCCTTCCTAAGTATTGATGTAGAACCTTTCGGATAGGTATGGAGTGGGACAGTAATAGCTTACAGGAAATTCCATACTTTACAAGGCTTGAGGCCTACTTTTCGGATAGGTATGGAGTGGGACAGTAATAGCTTACAGGAAATTCCATACTTTACAAGGCTAGAGGCCTACCTTTGGGATAGGTATGGAGTGGGACAGTAATAGCTTACAGGAAATTCCATACTTTACAAGGCTAGAGGCCTACCTTTGGGATAGGTATGGAGTGGGACAGTAATAGCTTACAGGAAATTCCATACTTTACAAGGCTAGAGGCCTACCTTTGGGATAGGTATGGAGTGGGACAGTAATAGCTTACAGGAAATTCCATACTTTACAAGGCTAGAGGCCTACCTTTGGGATAGGTATGGAGTGGGACAGTAATAGCTTACAGGAAATTCCATACTTTACAAGGCTAGAGGCCTACTTTTCGGATAGGTATGGAGAGGTAGGGACAGTTAGAACTCACTGAAACTTTAAACAACTTTCATGCCTGAGATCTACCTTTAGAATGCTCTGTACTTGGATCCATGACCAGGCGACAGTAATTGATAGGTCCAAATTCTTCAAGCTCTTCTTCCAATGTTTCCTCAAACGTTTCAAATGCAACATTTCTGTTAATGGAAAGTTTGCATCACATGAACACATTAATAAAAGAAAAATAACCAAGGATACACTATTTATCAGACAATAAGCCCATGCCTGGTAACAAGCTCTAGTATGGCCATTAATATCTGGTAATAAGCCCATCAGCATTTATGGCTGATATCGTCTCCAATTGTTCACTTCTTAATATATACAGTAATTATATTATTGATCATTATTGCTCATAAATAAATTGTCAAATCTTTCATGTCTCATTTTTTTATACCAGATAATCTAATCAATCAATGATGGTGGTCTCAAAGAATCTTTGATTTTTCCACGAAAAACCCATCAAAAACCTACAGCTAAGTAAAGTGCACACCCCACACTTTGAACCTTTAATGTGTCAATAAAAATTGTACACATTATGTCTGTTTTTACGGTAATCAAAGTTTTTCTATGTCCTGTAATCAGCCCAAGAAGTGATATGTTGGTATTGTTCACTTCTTGCAGGATAAATATGGTAATTAAATTAGAAATTATTTTTGAAACATACATATGCCCCCCACATAATGCTTGGTAAGACAAACTTACTATGAAACATTATCTAAATATCTAAACATAACAGGTGAGATCAAGGTATCATTTGTATGATATCAAGCCATCAAGCTAAGTAATGCCAGGTTACAGAGAATATTTAAGGAAAACATTCTTTGTTTTTAATTTTATCTAAAAAATAAAGGCAAAGTCACAAGACTTTTTAAGAAATTGGTACCAAATTTCAAGACTTTCCAGGCATGTTATGAATACCAAGAATTTTCCAAGCAAGGGATAAAATTCAAGTTCTCTTCAGATGAACCATGTTTAAAATATTCTGAAGACTTACCAGTTTTTGGCACAGATAACCTCTGATCACTGCTCATCATAATTCTAATATTTTTCAAGAAGATTGTTATACTGTTAAGATAGCCTTTTTCATTTCCGAAATATGTGGTAAAAAGATTATAACAAGACTATTTAAATATCGCTTACTTCATCAGCACTAAACTGTATGTTAGGATTTGATATCTTGGTCTCAGGCTGTTGTTATATAATCATTTTTTATCATTATTTAGAAATTTACTAACCTAATAAATAGTGTCCTTCCTTCCTCAACATCATCTTTCCTTCTTTTTTCTGTAAAACAAGAAGCAAATTCAATATCAACTTTGAATTGATCTAGGTTTATTCTCTGGAAGCATCTCAACATTTCACTTCCAGCAGTAATTTTATATCTTTTTAAAATAGAGGTAAATTTATTTTGCAATGTGACTTTTTTCTTGCTTTGGGAAGAAAAAAATAGTTAATTGTTGGGAAGAAAAAATTAGTTAATTGTTAAGAATATATTCTGAAGTAAACTGCCAATTAACTTTAATAAGAAATAATTTCATTGAGAAAGGAACCACTACTGGTCCCAAAAACCCTAGTTTATAAGGATTGAAACCAATATTAAATTTCAGCATAATAACAAAATCTTTCTCACAAATTTGAACAGAACTTACTGTTTTTATTTTTCTGCTGTCTTGAATCATTCTTCATATCTTCCTCGTCACTGGTGTCTTCTTCGTCATCCTTTTCTTCTGCTTCAGAAAACCCTTCATCATCCAAGTTAGATTCAGGCTCATTTTCTTCATCTGAATCTTTCATAGATATTAATATTCTAAATTAAACTTATACTTGTAAGTTATACATGTATCCTGATGGGTTTACAAAAAAACCTTACTTCCTGGAACGTCAGTTACTCAAACCTCCCACTATTCATCCAACTTGATAGTTTTCTTATAGAATACTACTTGTTATTTATCATTTAACCTTGGATTCCTTAAACCCGCCAAAATTCTTGAGCTCAATGGATCCCCACCTCCCATCGTGCTCCATTTATTCATCAAACAGGTGTTTAACTTGCAAAAATTTACCTGTGTCATACATGACTGCATCCAGCTTTAGTGTAACAGTTCACATCACTTCTGTATGTTTACATAATTATCATTTACATTCTCAGAGACATGGTTTCTTTACAATTCATTTTGCAGTAAATAAACAGTGTTGTGAATAAGAAATTTTAGGAATTTCTCTTCAGTAAAATTCCAAGCATTGAAAATTTAAATATTACTGCTGGTAATTGAAAGCTTCAGAAACAGAAAACTATTAAAAAGGACCAAAGAGAGTATTGAATTCATTCATGGACGCTGAGTGTTCACGGATGATCGCTACCTGATGGTCCATGACCAACCTCTCGCTACTAGATTCCTAGATCTCTCAACATGGTCCCACTGACTTTGACATTATGGGGTTGGACTGTCTTTGAATGAATATGAAAAATATATCCATCTAAACTAAAGTTTACTGTTAAATTCATGATAAAACTCTAATTTAGTACTACAATATTTTTACTGTAACATGTCCAGGGGTCAACACATAACCTGTGACACAAGAAGGTTGGCTTATTACAGGACAATAAGCCCTGGTGGCTGACACATACCATGTGCATATTTGCCAACTCTCATTACTTAAGAGGGAGACTCTCAATTCTGGACAACTAATTCTGCTCTTTTCAACAAGTGAATTTGCAAAACTATTTTAAGATTCCATTGTTTAAAGATTTTGCTGAATGAACAGCCAAAACTGATGCCAATCACAAGTGTTATTTCTTTACTAGAAGGCATAGGTGTACATCTTGTTTATGCTTTTATTTTGTGCATGTAAAATCTCTTCTAAGAAAATATTGAAAAGTTGCCAAGTACACATGTGACTTGAAGTAGGGAGATAAAAGGATGATGATTACAAGGCATTTCTTCTAAACCTATATTGGATCATCTTCTGTCCCAGATGAAAATCCCACTTATTTATCTCCTGAGGTCAAGCCTTACTTAAGGATAAATTCAGTTCGGGAAGGACATTTGTTTCTGACGATCATATCCACATCTTCATAACTATAATCACACGTCTCTAAATTGTACCTCAAGTATCAACATAGTGACCTCCATCCAATCCCCAAATTTTTATCAAGTTTCATCAAAATCTGTCAAGGCACAAAGTCCTATAATACCGAGCAGGATGGTGGAATCCATTACTGGGTTGCAGTGACATAGACCTTGGATCGACCACCACACTTACACCTATTTAACATCTTCAGGGTATATCCATGGCAATGTTATCAGATGTTTATCAAAGATTATAAAGCAGGATCAGCCAAAAAACAGTGACAGCAATTAAGCCAAGAAAACCACTCCTATATTGCATTGATGGAAGTTCTTACCTTCTTCATCTTCTACATTGTCGCTGTCCTCACTTTCTGTACTAAATGACCCCTCATCAGAAGCTGTATCCTGATCATCATCACTGATCAGTTCACTTTTTATCTCCTGTTTTATCGCAGGTTTTTTGTCCTCTGTTCTGGGTGTCACTGGAGACTTACTGGCCTCTTCACTGGATGCTGTTTGTCTTATCTTGGTCTGAGTTACAAGGAATTTGTCCTTTGGCAATGTCCAGTCTACAGCTACTGGACGTCCTAGAATGGAGAACATTAAAACTGCTGAATTCAACTCAATAGAGTTTCAAGTGTAGGTCACCATTATCAGTAGGTATGGTGAGCTACATTGTAACAGCATATAAAATCTCCTGAACTCTATAACATAATACATCACTAACACACCAGTGCTAACTCACTTCTAATGTATGATTTCCTGAAATCTACAGTAAAATTTCATTACTTTTATAGTAAAATTTCATCATTTCTATGGTACATTTTCATCATTTCTAAAGTAAGGTTTCATCACTTCTGCAGTAAGACTTCATCACTTCTGCAGTAAGATTTCATTGCTTCTGCAGTAATATTTCACCACTTCTACAGTAAGATTTTATCACTCCTACAATAAGATTTCATCATTTCTGAAGTAAGGTTTCATCATTCTTATAATACCATTTCATCATTTCTATAGTAAGACTTCATCACTTCTGCAGTAACATTTCATCATTTCTATAGTAAGACTTCATCACTTCTACAGTAACATTTCATCACATTACCAGTAATATTTCATTACTTACCCAGTATAGGTTTGGAGTTCATTCCTTTAATGGCTTGGTCTGCAGCTTCCTGATTATCAAACTGTACAAATCCAAATCCAAGCTTTCTGCCATCTGTAATATTTAAACCATAAGTTTGCAAAAAGTGACATATTTGACATATATTAACAGTGTAAGTTACAGTTTACATTCATACTTTACATATAGTGACAACAGATTGTATGATATCTTGAAATCTAGAAATAATGTATCTGAGTTGAATGGAAACTTTTCACAGCTGAAATACCATACAATTAAATAAAATGAAGAGATAGATATTTTGGACAACAATTTAGTGCATTCTATACTCTTTTGAAAAAAAAAATACAACCAAATTCATACTAGTCAGACATTGCTACAGACCTATAATGACTGAACATTCTGTATCACCCTTGTCAGTTTCATTGCTATTTCTTTACTTTCTTTTCTTTCCATTTTACCTGGTTTAAGTGGAATCTTCACTTCTGTGATGTCCCCAAACTTCTCAAAATATTCATGCAATTTATCTTCTGTGCACTGAAAGAAATTGTTTTTGCATGAAAACATAATATGTCAATAAAAAATGAAATTTATTATTTTATAAAACCAAAAACAAAAAAATAACAAATTTGGAATTGTTTTAGTTTAATAGTTCAAGACTTTTTTATTTTCAGAAAATGGCTTTATATTTCAAATTCATCAAATACAAATATCTAGCTGTGAACAGAAAATTTCATTTATCTACTATGTAATAAATCTGATATACAGGCATCTGATAAACCTAAATAGTTTCCTTCTTTAGGTCAAGTGTTACTGTAATACAGGTAAAAAATCAATTAGTGCTTTTCTAGTGTACAAATCCTTATTTCATACCAAGACAATTTCTGATGGCTGAAAAAAGAGTGATTTCAGCTTTTATTGTTATTGCAACTGTTAAAAGAGACCTTTCATACTTACTTGAAACGACAGGTTTCTGACAATAAGTCTACACTGTTTCAATGCTCTTTGTGAAACTACATTGAAACAATCTTTCTGGCACTTAACATTCAAAGCATACCCTGTTGAAACAAAATGAAATATTACGAAATATTTGTGTATCCTGTATATTAAAGGGCACCAAAATATTAATTTAACATTTATTATTAATTCTACTAAAATCAATAAATAAGACCAGGCTTATTTATTAGGCATGGGCTTATTGCCAGAAAATCATGATACATAATCATTCCTTAAAAGCAACCTCTACATAACTAATACATAACAAATAAATATAAAACCTACTACTAATAAATATATGTTTACATAGGTCACATCTTTTATACACAGTATTTTTTCCCAAAATGGAACATATGTGCCAGTCTTCAATAAACATTTCTGTCAGGTTGTTTGTCAACAAATCATTCAACCAAAGATTTTCTTTGAATTTTAACCCAAATTTATTGAAATTTCAAATTGGTTCTCAAAATGAAAAACAAAAAGTTTACACTGACTAATACCTTGTTTGCCCTGATTGTCCTCAAGTTTCCTCTGTCCTGCTTTTGTGTCTCGAATGGATTTAAATCTCATCATGGCAGTTGGCTCCTCACAATTTCTTAATGGAAACTCCAACTTGCCTATGTTTTTGACATTTCTGTAAGCAACAAGATTGTAAAGCTAAATCGTAAATATCTTATGAAATGATGATTATGTAAAGAATCCTAACCATACAGCCTAACATTTATCCTGCAGAAAACCTACAAGGCCAACACATAATCTTTATTCAAAGTAAGGGGGATGGCTTATTACATGTTAATGAAAAAACATTAGTCTGTAATTCTAATGAACAACAATAGATATGGGTGGGCTAATTACCAGACTTACAGTAGGTCTATTCAATTTCATGGATTGCCATTCTAGACCACAAATGTTAAAAAATCTTTGAATAATTACTGTACTTTAAGCTAATCTTAATATTTCGCTTTAAAAAAAATGATATTCTGAAAAAAGAGACAGTTTCAAAACGGTAAAAATATTCTTCAACAACAAGATTAATATGTAGCACAGTGTATTGTAATTTAATATTACAGATCTTTGTTGAAGTAGCTATAAACTCACATCTTGGTCAGGTATTTCTGAACATCATCCAAGGATGTACCATTCTTCCAGCCAGAAACTAGTAATGTTTTAGACCACAGATACTTCATCTGCTGTTTGTCCATTCCACCTGTTTTTTCTTTGTGATAATGAAAACCGTCATGAAAAGTTATGACTAGGTTCAAGCAAGTATTTTGCAAATAATTTTCAAATTTTCATATCTCCAAATGCACATTCAGGAAGTTAATTCAGGTTATAGAGGATTCGATCTTATGCTATTAGGTGTACTACATGTGAAAATTACAAATATTATTATAAAATCAAAAATCAATATTTAGCACAGGATTTTAAATTTATACTGCAGAGAAAAAAATATCAGTTTAATTTATCAATATTGATTCAGAACAAACAGATTTATTCAGTAAAATTCTGTAATCCTTGATGATGATATTAAATACCAATCATGGAGTTTAGCCTTTGATATAAGATCATGTGATTTATTAGGAAGTGAAACTATCTTCTTAATCTGGTTACCATTTTTCTCTTCCTCTTCACTGTCTTCATCCTCAGAACTTTGTTCTTCCATAACCTCCTTTTTCATCTCTTCTTCGACTTCTTCTTTGACAGGTGGGACTCTCCTATTTGTACCCATTCGCATTCTGTTGTCCTTTTTTCTCTCTGCAAATGTTATCATGATCTTCCTCCCGTCTACGGATTTGATAGAATCTTTGGCCTTCTCTGCATCCTCCCTAACAATTAAAACAATTGAGTTCGTAATTAGAAACTTTTCATTTTTATTATACATATATCAATAAGTATTACGTAAAGAAAGAACTGATTTTGCTCTTGCATCATGAAAACTAGTTAGAGAACATCTAAACTAGTTCCCATTTAAACTTTAAAATAAAGTTCAATTTCTTAAATCTCAATAATTTCAAAATTTATTGCTTTCAGCTGAAATTCTAACAGAAGACTAATTGTCAACTGCTCAACTTACAGCATAAATAAATTTTCTTAAATTTTCAATATTTATGTTTACCTTTTCTTTTTGTATAACTTTTTTAATGCGATATCTATTTAGCTGGAATTCTCAGTGGAACATTGCAATATTAGTCAACCATTCAACTTACAACATGGAATAAGCCACATAGCCAAAACCTCTGCATTTTTCTGCACCTGTCAAAATAAAAGTATACTCATAAAGGTAACTGGTTAACATTTGATTATATAGTATTTTTTTTCTTATTCCAGGTAAAATTCCTGCAACAAAAAACATTTCTCTTAAGCTTCCGATAAGGAAAAAAAATATTCACAAGGTTTGGGATTATAAGAAAATATATGCCATCAGTTTCAAGGGCAATTTTTATTCACAGGGGCAAAAAGGCTCAAAAAACATAAAAAATATTTGTGGTGTCATAGGATAGAGTGACCTCTGATGACCAGACAGCTGCATTGATGAAATCCTCTATAAAAGGGATCAAGTACAATACAGCGATTTTTTTTAACTTGTCAAATTCTAAATAAATGTATTATATGGCATCAGTTTAAAAGGGTTCTGAAAGGAATATTCTGAACAAGTGGCAAATTTCTGGATGTTCTGTTCTTTTAAAAAATTGAAATCCAAACAAACAAGGAATAATCATGCAATTCAATATAAATCTTATCCTCTTTACACATGGCTCCATAAATCTAATTGTGATGTATTAACTCATGAAACAGTTGTTATAAAATTGGTCACAACAAAAGAAGCCTAGAGTGATTATTCATACTAACAGCAGGCGTTTAATTATACCCCCTTGTCAAAAGAATCACCAAAAATAATTTCTTTAAATTTTCCTATATGATTACAATTATCACTGATTATGTTATATTACAGGTACAAATAATCTTGTAAGAGTACATGGGACATACTGGGCTAGCAATTATGGTTTTATTAGAACCTAGTTATTCTACTCAACCACCAACAACTAAAATCTTACATGGGTCTGCTCCATGAACAGGAATCACAACCTAAGGACAAGAAGTTCCAAATATCCTTGTCCATGAAACAGACCCGTGTTTGATCATTTTTCTCTCATGCAAAAGACTAAGAGTCACTGGTAAATCACTGGAATATTTCCATCAATCACAAAGTCAGGATTGGTAGTAACAGCTAGTTCCAAAGTTTTTGACAATAGGCTGAAACTTTACAGATTCACTTTTAGCCTAAACATTGTAGGTTGTTGTGACTCTTATTCATTGTGTGATCATTAATCACCCATGAAATGTGCTTCAAATTTAGGATGTTACCAATTTGTGACATATGGTTACACTACATAAAATGACAACACTACTCTATCACAAATAGCATCATAACACCAGTTATCTCTCATACACAAGGACGTAATATAAAGGATAAGAGACTGTGCCCAGTGGTGAATTATCTGGTATCAGCTTTTGTTTGTCACTGAGCAATGAAATCTTCTTTACTCAATGTTGTCATCTAACCTTCACTACTTATTTATACCCCATTCACTTCTACTCTAACCAGCCTTGCCATAGCCATTTTTGGCCAGTGAGAAGAGGATCTCACTTTTGTAACAAAAATAGCACTAGTAGATTATAGTGACTAATCACAAAATTGACATGAGTCAATTGGAAAATTACACAGCTTTTAAATATTAATGAGCTTTCTACTACTGCTTATTTTGAAAATATTAATTATATATACATTTTGAGGGGAATCGTATATTAACTCAGCAAGGTCAGTTAATTCGAATTTCTTCGCTATGTCATTGCAAAAAGATTTAGACAGTTTCTTATTCCTCTGTATTATATGTCCCTGGTCATGTCCTAGATGAAGATAGAAAACTCTTGAACATGTAAAAATAGAAACATGTCCCTGATTGATTGGAAAAATATATATCCAAGTCCGTGATAAAACATCGATGTTTGTGACTTGATTGTAGGCACACTACTTCACCAGATGATATGAGTTATCGAGATTAAAATTGAGACATTCCCTTGCTTGTGAGACGTTGTAACTTTTTGTATATCACAGGTTGGACATAACCCCGCATATGGGTATTAGCCAGACTTGTTTCAACTTAGTCTTCGCAGTTCATCATAAGACAACAATAATGCGAACCACATGTCTTCTGTGTTTACCTTTTGGCTTCACAACAAAACATGTCTTCAGTGGTCCAATATCGCCAAAAATCTCCTCAAGTTTTTCATTTGTTGTTGAATATGGCAGATTTCTCAAAAACAACGTTTTGCTCTTTCGAGCATGTGTTGCTTCGTCCGCCATCTTGGAAAGGACCGGAAATACTACAGTAAAGATAATGTTTGAAACGATATCAAAATCGGAAAATCAACGTACCACAGTACTGAATAAAAGCAAAGACGTATATAACTTCTCAGATAAAAGTCTAGGTTTACAGATAAATTGTTATGTCAATTAAAATGTTTAGGATAATCATTTAAAGTCAAAAAAGTTTTTTTTTCCAACGGGTTCCTGGCCTGAAAGTAAGTTTACCAGTCAAGATAATTTTTTATCTTATTTATTTTATTTTTCTTTTCGTTTCATTTTCTGTCTGAAAAAAACTTTCTGGAGAGTATATAGCTGCCACTGTCTATCTCTCTGTCTTTCCTTTTGTGTCTGCAGCATAACTTTGCCAACAGTTAAGCATTGATCATGAAACTTAGTGAATAAATTTGCCATTCAAAGACAATGTACATTGTAACAGATTCAGAGCACGCAACTCCTTAATCACAGAGTTATTGCCATTTTATCAAAATTTCATGTCCAGATAATCAATTTCAAATGCTTACATTTAAAGTGTGATAATGAAACTTGGTGTATACATTGGTCATACCAAGACAATGTGGATTGTTCCAAAGTCAGGGCCAATAACCCGGAAATCATAGAGTTATCGCCCTTCATTAAAATTTACATGTCCTTAACTTCGCCGTCAGGTAAGATGGGATCATGAAAATTAATGTATGCATTGTTCATAATCAGATGATGTGCAATGTACAAATATCAGGGCCAGTAACTCCTTAAAATTTCCTTGACCAGAGCCGACTTTGCCTCCAATTAAACTAGGATAATGAACCTTTATGTGTACATTGGCTAGACTTAGCAGATGTGTAGTGTACCAATGTCAGGGCCAGCAACACTTTAATGAGATAATTGTTGCCCTTTGTTAAAATGTTGAGTATTATCAGTTTGTTTTCGGGAACATTAATCAGTGTCACTGATACTCTTGTTTTTCTTGTGAGCCAAGCAGTTTAAATTATAAGTTTCATGAAATCTCATATGAAATGAAAACAAGTTTAAGATACATTTTATCACATAACTCATATATTTGAAAGTAAGTGCATATGTAGATGCTTCACACATATTTGCAAACACTAACACATGCATTTAACTGGGCATTTATATACCAACAGCTAATTCAATATTTAGTTTATACATTCTTTATTATCAATATTATTTCGTTAGTGAAAATATCTCACAACTTGAAATATACACAGCTTTGGAAATAATTTGTTGTAGATATGAATAAAATAAACAAAATCTGTTTTTGTGTTTGTACTAAATCGTATCAAGATTAGAATAATCACTGGTTTCGATTGATTGATCGTTTGAGATCAAAACTGATCGAGAGGGAAGATTCCAACGTAATTTCCGAGTTATAAACCGTACCCTTATATAAGCCACAAAGTCAGTTTTTAACGATTTTACCGGATTTGATCCACATATTAGCTGCATCGGAATATAAGCCGCACCCTTTCTTATGGTCTTGAGTTGACCAATGTTCATTGATATAACAGACAACGGAGGGCAATTTATCAAGATCGCCAGTGAAACATTTAATATAAGTTTTCAAATTAGTTATACACAGATAATCTTTTATTTTATTGATGTGTTTCAAACACGTGGAATAGAAATTATCAAACTCGTTCGGCTTGGGAGCTTTCAAAGATTGTCTACGCACAGATATACGGCCTGACGTTACGTACGGTTTATCAACAGTATCTTTATGACTATCAGGCGATATCATGTTGTCATTTGACCTTTTGTATCGTTGCAGGATATATCATATTGATCTTATGTTGCCATAGCGGTTGTTTCTGCTGCATTAAATCTTATGTTGTCATGGTGACCGTTTATATGACAACAGATCGTTTGTTGTTTTGATGTCAGAATTAAGGAAATATAAAGTAAATTCTTCAGAAAAAAATAGCATTCCTCTCTGTCATTCAGAGAACTGTGTATAAAGTTAAAAGTTGATGCCGAATTGATGTATGACAGAGAAGTTCCAGTCAGTACTTACAATTTGGTTAGGCGAACTAACAATCCTGTTTTCCGGAGAAATACTAGTACCAAGTATACACAAACTTAATTGTCAAAATGAAGACCACACTCTACAGATCGTTTTGTCAGTATCGGCTCAGTGAACTGGCTTACAGTTTTATGTAATAAAAGGAATTATCCAACTACATAGATATGTATTAATTTACTAGCTTATAACTCTCACTCTTAGTCTAATAACAAAAATCAGGGAAATTGATTAATTAATCCATATCTTTTTTGATAATTCAAAAGTTCAAAAGGCATTAGTAAGTATTAAGATTTTGGTTAGATTTTAGAAAGATCCCTCCCGTTCTTCAACACAATATCAGGAAAGATACTTATCTGCCATTTCATTTCATTTCTGATCACTCTCAAAACTGAACATAACTTATTGTTCAGGGAACAATGTTATCCCTTCTCAATAGTATAGACAAAATGTTTCATATCCGTTTATAGAGAGTGATTAAGCTAATGAATGATAAGAGAGTCCTGTATTCTTTATAACTTTTTTATACCAATTTCTATCATGTATTTGTTTTCACAAAATTATCATCAATTCAGAAATCACACGTGCTACATTGAAATGATTTACATGTATATGTATCTATATTTACAATAATCAAGAAGAATATACAATTTCATGTAGTTATTTTTAGGAAAAAAAGCCATTTCAGTCCAAAGAACAACATATTCTGTTAATGTCTCATTAGTAATATATTTTCCTTTCTGTAAAAAAGACAGAACTACCGAGGCCCATCATACACTGGAGTTACCTCCCGTGCTTCAATCAATAATAAACAAAATATATTAACATATATACAAACCATCTTCACCCAGAGATGTGATATATACGTCTCTGTCTTCACCATATCATATTTCATTCCTTAAAGATGATACAATGTAATACTATCCTAATCACTGATCTGTATATATAGATAAAAAAAAATTGACGCTGTAACACTAATGACGAAAGATTAAGACCATTTTACACTTGTGACCTGTCCGAGCCTTAAACTCAGGATCTACGACACCAAATCGCCTAGCCAAGAATTTCCAAACTGTATAACCATTACATCACCATGGCATCCCAAAAGGACGTTTGGAAGGTTGTACTGATAGACAGCTAAAACATTATCGACATGATCAGCGGCAAACTGTCTAATGATGTGATATGAAAAGGTGGATCACAATGTACAAATAACACACATCAAACCCACGTACAATTATGACAGATACATTTTTGTACTTTAAATCAGGAACCTTTCGGTTTAATAACACTACTGTTCCAAATTAGAGTGTTATTTGACATTTACAGAAGAACCCTCAAACACGAACTCGTTTGAGATATTGCCATAAATATATAATTCCGAACCAGAAGGACAAGGATAACATACCACCCTCCCTCCCCACCTGCTTTCAACAATATAACTTCGCTACTCTCACTGCTGTAAGTATACAGTAGAAAGTATCGCGTTCCTTACCAATGGAGATAGGAAGATCGTTGTCAAATATTTTACTGAAGAGACATAACAACAGGGAGCTCCGTCCCTGAACAGTAATAAATGGAGTCAGAGCTTTGCTCTTTAATCTCGACCAACATCAGGTTTAGACCTTGGTGTGAAAATTTTGTCAATGGTTTTATATAACTTCACACTAGATTCATATTTCAAAAGTGGTCAGGTTTGACCTATGACCTTCAATCTTGACTGATCACCACCCAAATCTAATCAGATGTAGACCTGATATTGCATTTTGCTTTGTTTTGAATGTAAAATTAAGTCCAGTGGTCCGTGAAATATCTTGTATACAAGATTTTATTTATTTCCACAGGAATCAAGGGTGACCTTTAACCTTGACCGATGACCACTACAAAGCTAACCGGGTGTTGACCTTGGTGTAATGCCATCATATGAGTGTGAATCAAATCTGCTCATGGAACTTAGCAAGCCTCTGACAAGCTAAAATAAAAACTTATTCATGAGCTTTATAAATCACATATGTGATGGAGACAAATTTCATATTCTCATTATCATATGGTCAATTATGTTTGAAAAATGGCAGGAAACCTGCTTTTCCATGTCATCCCTGACAACAGGAATGTCTATACCGATTATGTCTCTAATGTAACATTTGTAATGTCATATTAATCACTGATTTCAAATACCAAAATGGGTCACATGACACAAAATGCTGAAGTAGCTAGAGAAGTAAACTGAGCTCAGACTCCCTCTCGCCCCCTGCTTGACTAAATTTTGTCACAGTATTCTATTGTAAGAGAGTCAAGGAAATATAAAGATATCTTACATGGTTATTTTTTCATCATATACTGTTAGATACAGTGTTTCATCTACTTGGAATATGCCTTTCAACAGTGTTTTAACCATTGCTACACCAAAAATGCTCTTACATACATTTATCAATGACGATAGTGCTTTGCGGCCCTGTTCTGAAATTTTTTTTTCCAGAAATTAAATTAAAGAAATTGCCATTATAATTTAAGGTAAGCCCTAAATTATTAAAATTTCTTCATTATTTTAAAACCACCTATCATTTTTCATTCTTCTTGTGTTTCTAAATACTTGTACAACTATTTTAGTTATAACATTAACTGTAAGACAATTGTATATGCCTGTAAGGAGAAGGGCATCTGTTGCACTATCTGTAGTTCCAGACATTATAACCATATCGTATGTCTACATAAGTAAAAATAAGTTAATTGTTTGTATTACTATTGATGTATTATTACTTTTGATAAAATCTAAATCATTAACGTACAATGTAAATAGTATTCCTGACAGAATTTCGCCTTGGAATAATCCGTTTGAAAAAATTGGTTAAGCCATAATCCTTTTCACAGCATCTCGCATTACCATACAATGATCTGTTTTTTTTTTTTACCATTTTGCCATCCATTCCTTCCTGAATCATTTTGAACCATAAATTTTGTCTCTCATGCAATCAATAAAGCAGTATAACCTCGTCTCGTTTTCATAACTTAATTGTAATCAATGATTTCTTACTAGGCATTAACCCATTGCCGGATACAAGTATATTCATATGGAGACAAAAGTTACAGATGCTGGATTTTATCACATCTGATGGTGATTATGGATTATAGATTTTATGTATTGATACCAGTCTTTAAAAAAGTTTGATATTAGAATGTGATATTTCTATAAATTGTTAAACCGACCTTATTTGATGGGTGTTTAAGCTGAAAACACATTTAGTTATAATTTATCTTCTCTACTGTACCTCCTGCACCCTTTCCTAGTGATCAGCTTACCACGGCGACTTTGATTTTGGAAAGAATGGTTGTATGAACACCTAAATGTTGTAGTTTGACTTTATTTGGCTCACAATATCAGAATATAACTAATCAGAGGCCTTCATTTTGATGCTGTGACATTTGGTCAAAAATGGTCAATCTCTACCAGTTATTGTCACCTGCAGAGCTGGCGGACACTTAGGGATCACTTTGTCCGTCGTCACGCGTCGGCGGCGTCCGTACGAAAGTTTTCTGGACTTTTTTCGATTATGCTTTGAGTTATCAAAGTGAAATTTAGTATGTGGCTTCTTGTTGGAAGGGTACAGATTAAGTTCGCTTTCCGGCTGTCTGTGACCCTTCTTACCAGAGTAATGCCCCTTTGAACTCAGAAAATTCTCTGGGAATATGGTTTTCCGGACTTTCTTTTGGTTATCCTTGAGTTATTGAAATGAAATTTGGTATATGGCTTCTTGTTGGAAGGGTACAGATTATTTTGACATCCAATTCAATTTCTGGGTGACCGCGACACTTTATGCAGGCGACATACAGTTCCGAGGAACTTTTTTCTTGCAGCCACAAGATATTACCTCATATATTGCCCGTCATTTTGATACCGTGACAAGTGGTAGAAAATAGTCAATCTCTACCAGTTATTGTTTATACAATTAATTATGTCATTTATTGTCTACAATTATGTATATTTTTGTATTTATCTGCCCCTTTCAAACTTTCGAACAAAAGATTTAGAAACTTCCATCACATTTCCATGGTAAGGGTTTTCAGAAACACTTCTTAGGTCAATTAGTTACAACATTGTCTAGGCAGACAAAATCCTGAAAATCTGCATTTTAGGGACCAGGTTACCATGGCAAACAAAATTAAATGCATATCAGTTGACCTAAAAATTTATACTGTGTAATTGAAGTGGTTCGATAGTCAGGACAGGAATCATCAAATTATACTTTTGGTTAAAACTATTAATGTACATTATCCCCTAACTTTTTTATAGCAATTTTCATCTAAATCCGTCTAATTATGACCAAAAAGAATCCTTCATCACATCTTAGAAGAAATGATTTTGGAAACCATTGATGTGTCAAACTAAATTTAATTTCTCATATCATCTGATGGAGCTGGAATACATTTGTTCCAAGAGCTGACTAGCTAAGTGCCTTTATAATCATAGAAACTTGCTACAAGGTTATTGTCTAGTAAGTGACCAGTTTTGCATGTCAACCTGAATTTGTCCACACCTGCATGTACATCTAGTCTTGTTTAGTTTTTTTATTGATTCACAAGTTCAGGGATAGAATTTGTCTACTCTTATATGAGCTGATTTCAGTACACCCAGGAGGTACATGTATGATTAATGAATTGACAAACACAAAAAAAGATGTAATAGTGTTTATTTTTAACACTATGGCCAATCACCCGTGTACAGGTAATGGAATGGTGTAAAATATTGTATATCTGTTCTGTAAACTTTTTACAGTAAAATACAAAACAGGCTCAGATAGGAGAGATAGACAGAAGTAGATAGTTCGGAAGACGCAAAAATAAAAATTCCATCAAAAACATGAAAATGATCTTACAGCAATACAAACTCATGACCAAGTAAATCAACATAGAATTATAACAATCTTACATCATTAAACAAGGCCTTATTATATTATAAACAAATTGTAGGGAAAATTATTACTGAAACAAGTGTCTTAATTCTTGGTTCAAATGTTTCAAAAATCATTGAAGCAATAGACACTTGTTAAGCATTTTGCTTAAAATGTGAAATAATATCTGTTGAAAAATTCAGAAATAACATTCTTTTTCACAAATACAAAACATCAACCTTCTGTTTGGCGTTGGATACCTTGTGTAAAAATGAAATTGATACTAATTTCTATATATGGTCTTAAATGCATGTAATTAAGAAACATTATTATGCATCTTGTAAATACAAGTAAAGAAGCACTTGGAAATTTTATGTACAATAATCAAATTGCACATTACAAAAGTATGATATAAATATGAAAAATGTTAACAAATCTAGAATTTTCTCAAATATTGCCAATACACAAATGTCCTACACCAGCACTTTCATGGAAATTTGTTTTAAAACATATTTCAATTTTAACAGTTTATAGTACTATTCATATATACCAATAACTTTTAGAGGTTACACTAGTTCCTGAAATTTAAACCATATCCGATAACTAGATATATCAAAATTGTTGTTACACATCAAAAAAGTTGATAGCACTGTGTAAGGATGCCGACGTAGAGCATGAGGTAAAAATTCTATACACATCGAAACTCTGATTTAGCACATCACAGAGGGACATGGTTGCAATCTTTCTCACAGTATGCCCATTAACAAACAGGCTAAATGTGTGGAAAGAAAGTTAGTCCATATAAATTATCACATGATTGCCGTTTTCTGTCCACCCCAAGAGGGAGACATGGTTGCTGTGCCCTGTCCTGGAATGAAGATGTCTTCCAGTCCCCAGTACTGCTGTTCCAAAGTGGGCGTACCTTCCAGAGACAAAAGTCAGAAAGAGAAGCCCTGCTGGGGTATGGTTGTGGCAGCATTGAACTGGTAGGCATTGCCGTCTGTGCTTGCTGGGGCAAGGCTCTGGTCTTCTCCCTATTTAAAATATATTGTCCATGTAAGTGATCACATTATATGAAGTGCAAGAAAATGGATATAGAAAGATATGAAGTATATACATATTATTCTAGTAAGAAAAAATCAGTTTTCAGTGAAATTTGTTGACAGAATACATAGTTATAATACAATCCAAACCTGGTAAAGCCAATTCAGGAGCAGTTAAAGAGTGGCCATGGGTTAATACAGAACCAAAACAATTGTCTTTCACATACAGGAATTTGTTCCATAGACGTAGTCTTTATAGAAAGGAAAGGAAGAACAGGAAGTTATTATAAAGAATTAAGGCTTTGTAGACAGGAAGTTGTCGTACAGAACCAGGCCTTCACTGACAGTCATTTTACCTAGGTAGGCTTTTATAGAACAGGAAGCTGTTATACAGAGGTAGGTCTCGATACAAGTTGTTTTACCTTCCCAGACAGACTTAATTGAAGTTCGTTTTTGTACAGTGCCCTCCGATACATTATATTTTTAAGGTAATATTCATATACTTAGATATTCTACACTAGATACATCTTTAGACTTTATGACTTAAAATTTGTTAATTATATTACCAAACTAGGATAATTATCAAATCAACAAATAGTTTTCAAAGCTGATCAGCTAGTAACAATTAAGGAAAAAGCATCAATGTTTTTAAAAACACATACTGCTATTTCAGAATTGGTAGGATATGGTAATGAAATAGGTTTCAACATACCTCGTCAGCAAAGTATTTCTCTATAAGTTCTAATGCTGCCTTGTACACCTGCTCGTTTTCATGGTTCTGAAGGTTCTCTATCTTGTCCAGACCACTGGACTCCTCAATCATTACACATACCACTTCTTGTTGGCCGATCTTCTCTGCAGCCTGAATCAGAGGTGAAACTACTTCATTAATTAAGTTCATAGTCATCAAAATATGTACCTGTATTTATGTGATGAGTGTACCTCAGATTATTCATATTTGTATCCTCAACAACACAACAATATCATTTGATAAACCAAAGTAGAGGGTACAAAAGCGGTACTGCATTTTCCAGTTTATAAGCTAGGACTTTTCCTCTCCGGGGTCTGGCATGCAGCTTATATTAGGATGAAAAAAAAAAAAAAAAAAACAACCCCAAATGAAGCATATCCATACACCAGTACATGATGGTACCAATTCTTTTTTAAGCGAACTTCTCAGTCACTTGTTTGTGACTGAGACAGATGGTATAGGACGTTTTTTTCTGAATAATTCTGTATTTCTTTGTTAAAATCAATTTTCAGATGTTGAAAATGTGATGTCATTGAATGGAGATAGAAGCCAATTTCATTGATGACTTACCATTAGAATGTTACCAATAGCATCAAGGATGACAAGTATGACTTTTGCTTCCTTTACTGTAAGGAGATCACAAAGAGGCTTAATGGCCCCAAGTTGGACCAAGTATGCTATTTGTTCCACTGTGCCTCCTGATGTCAGGTTTGTGATAGCCCACACTGCCTCTTTCTGGCTCTTGTAGTCACCCTTCAAAACAGCAACAAAAACACCTTAGAAAAATTATCACTTGTAATTTGTGGTCAAAAGCATTGTTCCTTGCAATGTATTATTTTCTTTTACAAATTCTTGAAAAAACAAGAAAAAAAAAGCAAACTATGCCGTACTAAAACTTACTTTGATCAGTATTTCGAGCGTGTAAGGAAGGAGTTCTTCATCAATAACACACTGGATCTGTTGTGTGTTACCAGCTGTGATGTTGGATATCGTCCATGCTGCTTCTTTCTGGATGTTGACCTTATTATGAGTGAGGAGATTCTTGAATGCCTTTAGTGCCCCCTGGTCTATCACATTTTGTGTCTGACTATCATCGCCAGTCACAATGTTACCTACGGCTCGGAGGGCCGGTGTTATCACCGATACTTCTGGGCTTCCCAACAACTGTACAAGTCTAGGTACTACACCTTTAATAAATAAAAGAAAAACAATCACTCCATTCACACACTTGACATCTCACCTTGGTTACATTTTACAGTTCCCAACATATACAAAGCATCTTGTTTTCCAAACATAACCACAATAAATCACTACCAAACCTTTTATTGGCTATTTTCAGTATGAACAAAGATTGCAACCAGGTGAAAACAAATAAAAAAAACACACAGATTAATAAACTATTTACAAAAAAAGAAAAAAAGTAACCAATTTTGAGGTAAAGGAATTTACAAAAAATACCTAATATAATAATGATAGCTGCAGGTAAAGTAAATTCTATGAAAGTAGTGTTCCATATTATCTAAATTAGAAACCAAACAAGTTCTGCAATATGCTACCTACCACTGTCTACAACTTCCTGGATTTTATCGTTAGTGCCATCTGTGAGATAGGAAAGTGCCCAGCACGTGTCTGTCAGAACCTCACGGTCACTGTGTTGTAAAAGTCTGGCCAGAGTGGGGAGGAACTGTCGCACAACCTTGAACTTTGGTGGAGGGTTCTTATTCCTGCAGAGGTTGGACAATGTCCACGTTACATTCCTCAAGAAACCCGCCTGTGGAAGGTGGACATTGCAGATTATAATTTCAAACAAAACACATTTCTTACACCCTTCACAGTCATCACATTTCGCTAAAGAAAAAAGAGGTCAGTTTCTATTAATCTACTCTCAAATGATAAAATAACTTTACAACCAGTATTAACTTTATTTTTTTTTTTAAATCAGGACATAATTGCAAGCAATTACAACACTTTGCCATGCTATAAATGTGAAGAATATATGTATGGCATTCAGTGATGCATAACTTACAGATGCTAATACACATCACTAATGCTACTAAAAAATAAACTTCACAATCTAAGTAATGATTGACAGGAGCACACCAGACAAGTATTCCTGAAACAAACAGAAACATCTAAGAAGGTTGTTTGTGAAACAAGTTCTACTTACAGGAGTCTCCGGTTTGATCAGTCGTAGTAAAGGTTCAATGATCCCAGATTCGGTCACATAGTCTCTCAGGTCAGGTCCATCGCCTGAAAATAAATTGGCAATCTTCTTTTTTAAACAGATGAAAGCATATATGCCTCATTTTAAAATACTGACTAAATACTGAATGTGCTGATGTGAAAGTGGTCATATGCTCAAAAAAGTTTTAAAACTGCAAGAATTATCAGGCCACGAAGAAAAGCTTGGCGTCTTGCGACCTCTATATTTTATTCACATTTTCTGTTGTATTTAATTGTTTTAGAAGTTTAATTTTCAAGAAATAACAGAAGACAAACAAGTGAATGGTGTCTTTCAATGGAAGATTTAAATTATATATACATTATACAAAATAAAAAATTATATCTTGTCAAGACCCGTTTTCATTGGTCATCTTATTGAAGAGGCATTTACAATACTGATTAATGATTGAGTGATGGAGGTTCTTCTGACTACACTTTTAAACGCCAATGAATATTCTGTTGGCTATTTAGCTGAAAGATATCCTTCCCCGTCAGGATTCAAGACTTTGTTCAGTGGTGCTAGCCAGAGCAGTTTTCACCATATTGTGCTGTGACAGACGTTAGAACACTAAAAATGTTTCACTGCTAGCTAGAGCTTGCTGGTAATAAGCATCTGTTACACTGATGCATTTATGTGATAAAAACCAAATTCTAGTCAAAATTAGGGATATTTTACAAGGCACCTGGTGATGCATTCTCCTCTTAAAATATCAAAATTGGTGTAGAATTCTCAAAAGATGTACCACTGTATGTTGTGTATTTACAGAACTTGTCCAAGTTCTAGTTAAACTTTTATTACTCATAGTTACAAAATACAGTACTGTATAGCAATCTTAGCAATGCGCTCTATCATAGCCAAATGGCAGAGCAGAACATAGACGAAAAGCTTGTGGTGTTGAATAAGCCCACAAGTCTAATACTAACCAACCTAGCTGTGTGGCGTTCCTTTTATATATACAATGAAAAAGGTAACTGTGCAGTAAAATCACCCCGATACCCTGTGAAATTCCATGTACAGTCCTAAGTTTTCAGAACAATACAAGTGGACTCTCTGGCATTTACCGACTACAAATGTCCATTAGTGTGCCATTATAACATTCTGCTTGTGACCAGCCGACTAGATAGATGTTAATTACAGCCCCTAAATTACCTATGCTGACCAGTACAAGGTGTATCAGCACCTCTCAGCTGATTGTTCCATACAACTGATAATTATACACCACTATTATATGCTTCATAATCATCCAACATTAATCAAAATACTGATTATAATTGAAATATTACATAACGACCCTTATTTTGTTTCAATATTTTGTCATTTACCTGCAATGTTGCCAAGGGCCCAGACAGCTTGCTCACATACATTGTGGTGTGGAGAGGACAGCAGTTTGACAAATGGCGGCACAGCCCCTGCCTTCACAACAGCCTTGGTCTGATCACTTGTACCTGATGCGATGTTTGTTAGCGCCCATGCAGCCTCAAATTGCAAATCAGGCCTACAAAAAGTAAATCAATGAATAAAAATATCAAGGTAGACAATGGTTATTTCTTACCATCAAGTGACAAAAGGAAAAATCAAGATAAACACTATCCATGATCTTTATTTTTGGATGGAATGCGGAGAGACCCATATTTCCTATAATTTAAAATGGTATGATACCTATAGAAACTAGTCATTTCTCTAACCTCTGTAACTGTCAAAGCAAATGCAGGTCTTTTATTTATGTATCATCTCATTTTTTCTGATAAGCTGTTTCAAATATATCACGGAAATGGTCACCATTTTGAAAACTTGACATTTGTCAGGTTTATAAAATCTAAACAAAAACGGTAAACTTTCATGAGGTTGCAACTTTAAAATGTGCTTGATGCTATTGTAATTGGAATCATTTAATAAATGTTTGGCTATATGCATACCTATCACTATGGGAAAGGTATTCAACCATCCTGGGTATCACCCCAGTTCTGATGATGTCATCAATAGGTGGGTTTCTCTCTTTCGAAAGAAGTTTGCGAGCAGCCTGTGTACATTGCATCTGCTGTTGTGGTTCATTTCCATTTATACCATTGACAATTTCAACCAAGGTCAAGCTAACTGCATTAGTCTGAAAAAAAGAACGCAAATTAACAACTTTCACAATTTTTTGCAGCTTGTTGGACTGTCTTCACACTATAGCTACATTCAAATAGTGTAAACATTAAATTCTTAGAACAAAAGACAAAATTTCCATCCTCCTTGAAACATCAAAGCTGAATATTTGTAATAGATTTCTCAGTTCAAGTTGAAGAAACAAATTCATGGAAATCTGGCATTTGAAATATCTATAGAACTTGTCTTATGAACTATGGATTTATCAGAAATCACTATTTTATCACATTGGTTTCTTTCCAGTTTAAAATTTGCTTTTGAATTTTTCATCTTTCACATTTAAAGAATTGGAATGATGCTTGATTTTGGCCCAGTGATTATATATCATTAAAGCTACTGTGATCTTTTTGTGATACCTTGTTACTTGCATCCTGAAGGGGACTTGTTGGTTCATCATCAACAGCAACATTTCTTCTCTTCAGTAACTGGTCATCTTTCTTTGCTTTTCTCAACTCGACCGATACTTCATTTCTCCTCCTCCTCATTTCCTGTGGATGAATAATTCAATACCAAATTGATTTATATATTCAAACTGATGGAAGCAACTTGTAACAACAATTCAAAAGTATATACAGTTGAAACTAGTTATCTTGAAATTCAAGGGACTGTGGAAAAATATTTCAACTCAAATGAAGTGTATAAATAAGGCTGACGATATCAGTTTCCCAATGTTGATTATGATTGAACAAAGTAGGGATAAGATAGCACGCAAACAGCGTTAATCTGATATTTGAAATTTCTACTTTCTCCTTTGTTTATTAATCCAAACTGCAAAACATAACTTAAATCAAATACATTTGTACTTTCATTGTTCCATCTAGCACACCTGTACATTACCCTTACTGACCAAGCACATATACAATCATATCTTATGGAATTAATTGTACAAACACTAAATCTGACAAAGTGCCAGATCCTTGTCTTTAGTAAACTAACTTAAAATTAGTTGCTTCAAAAGGTGTGCTGATGCATCGCAAAAACAATTAATTTCAAAACAAATGACTTTCCCCTTACTTTATAATTGAAGGGATTGAAAAATCGCTTTGACTCAACCAAAATTTTGACTCAATGAAATTTGAGTCATCTGAACTAAAATTGCAAAGATATATAGAAGGAAAAAACTTGAGACCTGAAAATTAATTTGACTCAAGCGATTCCGAGACTAGTTTCAACTCTATGAAGTATCTGCACTGTATATGGCATCTATATAAAAAGACTTTTTTGGGGGTTCATATAATATATTGTCCCAGATTTATTAATTGTTTAAACAGCGCTATCAAAGGCAAAAAATCTTCAGAAAGACCGACTTGATCAAGCTTGAAACCAAGACTAGCAGGAAACTACGATTTTGCAACTTTTTTTTTAACTGTCTTTCAGTTTGCAATAATGATAACTAATATAAAAATGCACATGTGCAGCGACTAATTATTACAATGAATTTGAATTAATGTTATTTTCACAAAGCCTTCTCATGATATCAAAGACATTGCGGTCACGAGAACTATCAAGACGTTTGACTATATTTTTTTACTGCCGAGATTAATCGAGCCAAATACTGATCATGATCAGGAGTCGAAATATTTACATCAACATCTCTGCCTTTGTTCTTGTATGTCTTCATACGAGCGCTGGCATTTTCGTTTGAAGGCATCTTGGTAGTGTACGTGTCTTCACTTTTTTCAAATCGCTGTTTCAATTTGATTTGTAGACAGTTTACATAAAGCTCTGGGGTTTTATGATCATCGATCGCGTGATGTCTCTTATGTCGTTGATCTCAATAATTCTGGCCCCGTTGTTACATCAACAGTTAGAAATCTGAAAATAAAATCATATATTAAAAACATTGTTAAAAATTCAAAAATCAATACAGCTTAGGCTTTCAGTTTCACGTAGGAATCTTTTGTCCTCGTGGACGATGTAAAAACTAATGAAAAAAAAAGTTTTAAAAGAATTAGCTGATGATAATTTTTAAAAACGATGAAAACAAGTTTGTTTTATAAATATATATTTATGAATTAATACTTGCAGTTTCAAATGTAACAAGTCTGCAAATTTTATACTCACGTTTTCGACTATCACAGCTGCTTGTTCAAGGACTGATGGCAAGAAGACTTCGAATTTTCCGCTGTTTTGAAAAAGAACCTGTTAAATCAAAATTAATTGGTTAGTATTTTTAGATCGGAGTTTTGATTGGTTGTCACTATAGCAACAACACAATATCTTGACCCGTATTTGTGTATTCCGAAAATCTGAGCGAAGCCACTTATGAACAAATCCAATGTGCCACGAATGGCATAATCTCTAAAGAAATCTTATTAGTAAATTTAAGCATTTTGATAATATCATTCTTTCCAACAGTTTGTACATTATTAAAGAGTAATAAAATTATGAGAAAAATTGTTAGCTTGCATGAAATAAAGGAATGTGATAAGTTTATTTAGTATTTCTATCGAGTGTTAGAGGGCAAGTGTTTTCAAACAACCAAGATGTCTGCAGACGAAGACACCGAACTCCGAGACCTCGTAGCTCAAACGTTAGAAACTAACGGTGTTCTCGGTAAAATAAGGGTAAGTGTCCGATAAGGAACATATCGACAGCTTATTTTGTTACAAGGTTTTCGATACGAGCGTGCATCTTTTCAATGTTACACCATCATCGTCACTGACAAGTGGCCGTACAAAAAAGACGCCTGCAAGTTGCATGCACTGACAGGCTTCCACGCGGTATGCTGGAGATTATTTTAACAGTTCTTGTTCCATATGTCATAATTCATAAAGTGTTTACTGAACAAAAATTAACATACAATCCAAAGAAACTTTGCACAAAATCAAATAATAGTAACAGAGCAATTTAAAGTCTTATCGATAAAAAAGAAAATTTACCCTGATATACACAGACTTTGATCCAGTATTGGAATGGCATATTGCCAAGAAAGTATTGAAGAATTCAAATAATGTGTATTTCATTGTCTTATTTACAGCAGATTCAAATGTCACTTTCATGCTTCATGACACATCAATTCACACAATATGTTTTTATGTGAAATGGTTGTAGGCTGTGTTTGTCTGTATTTTTACTCAAGAATGATGTCTTTATCATTGAACTGTTGACTTATTTTTTGCTCCAGCTTAATCTGCAAAAGAGAAAGTTGGTTCAGTATGAATCATGAGTACTAGTCATCCACAAGTGTGGTCAGCAACATATGATCAGAACCCAGTGTTAAAGGTGGTCACCATGGAAGGATCTGTCCATTTTCTGATAGAATTAAAACAAAATACTAATTCAAGTTTGTCTATATCTCTGATTGAATATGAATAGTTTCATGACTAGTAAATGCAATCCTGATTCAATCAAACCTATCAGACTGACTAAATAACATGCAAATAAGGCAACCATATTAATTCTTTGAATTACAATTAGTTTACATTCAGTATCTTGATGAATCAATTGCGGGTGACAACACCTTTCTTATATTCTCAAAAGCTTGTTGTCATTTTGGTCAATTATGTCAGTAGTTCTGTGTTATAAAGATATACATTTATAAGCCAGTGAGCTGAAGTATTGTAGTTATCATGTTGCAAGTGTTTTAAATGTGTGATTAACTTCACTTTTTTTCAGGCACAACTGCGAGCCAGTGTATTTTTAGCTTTGGAAGATCAAGGATCTGTTCAGGTAATAATAGATACATTAAAACAAGATCTACATATTTATTTATTATATGACAGGGAAAGATGAAAGGTGGCCTATCAGAATTTATCAAGCCAGTCCATAATTTATTTGTTTATTTACACAGTAGGTTATACATCCACTATTATGGCATTCAGCCTTTCAGTGGACCATACATACTCCGTGATAATCAAGTCATTTACAATAAAATCAAGGAATTTATGAAACCTGATACTGTGATACTCATGTCAGTCTACAACGTTTTAGGTTTGGGTCATTGTGGATCCTATAGATTTAATTTGTCAGTGTTAAAGACAGGCTCAATCAGAAGTTGCCGGTTTGTAAGTAAATTAGATACAAGAAAAATAAGTGTTACCAGTAATAAGAATGAAAAAGAAAGAGGAGGAAGTTGAAATTTATGAAAATCCAAAATATTGTGTCTACCTACCTTTTATATCCTTAATTTCAGAATAAAACTCCTTTTGCTAATCCTGATCTGCAGAAATACTTAAATACTAAAGAAGGTGAGTTGTCTACATCCAAATATAAATTTTTAAACATAATTGGGATTAAAACCTTGTGACCATTATCTCAGATTCTCACTTTAAATAGAATAGAACTCAGAAAATAAATTCATTAATAAATGATGAAAACTTGGTACCGCTTCACTGAATAGAATTATTTATCCTTGATTTTATTAACATTTTTTCATCTTTCAAGCATGAATGATAAACAATGCCTTCCAGGAAACTTGGATTTTGCAAAGATTTTTTTGTTCAAAATCCATGTTTAAACAGGAAACATGTTTTTGAACTTACACAAATTACATGTCTGTAATCTTTTTCAGGAAGAACAACAGCTGCACTTGTGAGGGAATTTCTGGAGTTTTTCAATTTAGAATTCACTTTAGCAGTTTTTGATCCTGAGGCGGGCATTGTAAGTATACAATTTTAATTATATAAATACAATCTCCAGGTGTCAATGCCTAATAATCTGAAAACTAAACCAGGATTCATCAAGGCTCTCATGTGATAATGCTAAATATTCTAATATGCTGTGCAAAACAATAACACATTCAAATTCACTGAGTTTCATACTTGCTTTAGCTGTCAAAATACAGGGCAATGTTTGTTAACAGGAATATAGTGGCACATTTATTTCAGATTACATGTGGCTCTTAATTGGGAAAACAACAAACAAACTTCAAGAAACAAACACTTAGATGTTACTTTGATAGCCATTTTTACAGCATAAGAAATATTTGCATATCCTGACACAGAAATATGTAACCACTAAAAATTATACAGAAATGTATTTATCTTTTAAAAGGATATAATTTTGTCATGACTGGTCATTTTACTATCATAGGCAGTCCAGAAAATCTGTTATCCAGGTAATTTGGTCTGAAATAAAAGGTGTCAAAGATACTGTATTGTTAACTCAGGAACCCTGTATTAAATATCCAAAGATTTTTTGAAATTTTATATGGCCGGCTTTACAGTTTTCAATTGATGTTCTGAGTGCCACCTGAATGTCCATTTATGAATTGTTAATTTATGATAAATTTGTAGAAGGTTTAAAAAAAACACCAACTTTTGTTTTATTTTGGTAGTAATTTTTTCATTAATTCTAATCTCACACTGATTGAAAAGTATTTAAAGATAGCTGTATACATGAAACTTTACTTGACAGCAAAAATAAAAAAGCTGATATATTTGTGTGCTTGGGAGGTTGAATTGAATTTTCAGTACACACTTTTCCTTTACGGCAGGACGAATTCAGTATGTCAGCATACATTAAAACATTAATTTCACAAAACAAATTTTTACTTTTCTGAACTAGTACGTTTTGAATTCTTGAATTACTATAAGCTTGTAAAATGTATGTTACAACAATTTTAAAATAAGCATAATATTTACCCTGTAATATTATCAGGCATCCAGCATACAAAGTTTGACTCAAAGTCTGGCATCAGTCTTATTGTAGGACAATTGAATAGCAATTGTTGTAACTCTGCTGAACATGGGCTTATCGGATGGTAACAATTTGTTGGCCTAAATGGACATACACAAAGAGCCATAGTGTCATAGGAAAATCATAGTACCTACAGAAAACCCTTGTTGCAATGCATGTGGATCCATACTTTTAACATCTGATGTTCTGGGGTTAGAATCAAATGCATGAGGTCAAGGTGAAAATTAAAAGCATTATCCAATCTTTCACCAAATCATTTCTCAAAGAGAAAAGAATGGCATTGTCTACTGACACCAGAATGATCTTTTATGTGTATTTCCTTGTCTGGTTCAGGGTCCAGCTAATGAGAGTCGAGCCAATTTAGCAAGGGAGCTGAATTTAGCAGACAATGATGGCCCACCACGGGCACCATTATTTACAGAGGTAGTCAGGCAGGTCCAAGGGGGCACCGGAGGTCAGAAAAGTCGGACAAAGTCAGCCACAGAGGTATGTTGAGATCTTAACTGGTTAGATTTTGTACTTTGATATCTAAACTATCAACAATACTTATATTTGCCAACAAAAAACTAATCTTTACAATTTGTGTGATTTGTAGTGCACCAAAATTTATAGCATTGAATTACAGTGCAACTTTCCCAAACCAATTCTTTTCAAAACCAATCACATCTAGAAAACAAGGCAGTGGCAATACATGGAATGATGTGTAACATTAATAAGTGCTGACATCACCAGACAAACCAAACTGACCCTAAACCAGCCAACTGTCTCATGTGTGGTCGGTTTGGAGAAGTTCCACTGTGATTATTGTATTGCATAAATGCAGAATTTCAATCTGTTAAAAATTTAAAGTATTTGATGTAGATATTGTGTCTGTATTAATGAGATCACAAAGTTATCACAGATTTTAACAAACTTTTACCATACATTTATGTGTATGTTTACTAATAACTTTGTATTTTTTATTTTAAATGAAAAAAAATGACAGCTGTGTCTTTCCAGGAAGACCTTGATTTATGATTTACTAGCTTGGTATGAATTAATCAGTAATTGTTAGATTTCTGAATTCAGATTTGTCTTGGCTAACATGACATTTCTTGTGTTTATGGTGCACAGGAGGGGGATTCAGGGGAAGGTGATACAAACATACCCAAGGTATACAAGTTCTATCCCACTTGTATCTAGTATACTGTATAGTATGTACTGCTACATGTAGAGCTACCATAGCATGTATATGTCTATATTAATTTTGGAGTTATTGGATTGCTTTCGCATGCAGACTGGTATTTAATTTTTTTCACCCAAAACATTCCTTTCTTCAGGTTTTTCTTTATCCAAATTTGTTTCTGTTTAAACATAAATGCATTCCGTCTTTAATTTGTTACTTTTGAAAGAAAAGAATTCCACCACGTGTATTTTGTTCAGAAGTATGCCTTACTATTGTGTTGTAACAGCTGTTATGCTATATTTACACTGATATCTGTGGTAAGGTGTTTTATACTTCAACTGGTTTGATTAAAGTACAGTGTAAGAAACACCCATTACAGCTTTGTGCAGCTTGGGATCACATGTAAAAATACCAAATCAATTGTAAGGCTTGGAATCCAGTGTAATTAAATGCAGATGCAGTCTTAACTTAGATCTTCAATAGAACACATTGTAGATCTCTTATAACTTCAGTGTAGTTCTCTGATATAACTTCAGTGTTAGACCTACAATAACTACAGTGTAGTTCTCTGATATAACTTCAGTGTTAGACCTACAATAACTTCAGTGTAGTTCTCTGATATAACTTCAGTGTTAGACCTACAATAACTTCAGTGTAGTTCTCTGATGTTACTTCAGTGTTAGACCTACAATAACTACAGTGTAGTTCTCTGATATAACTTTAGTGTTAGACCTACAATAACTACAGTGTAGTTCTCTGATATAACTTTAGTGTTAGACCTACAATAACTACAGTGTAGTTCTCTGATATAACTTTAGTGTTAGACCTACAATAACTTCAGTGTAGTTCTCTGATATAACTTCAGTGTTAGACCTACAATAACTACACTGTAGTTCTCTGATGTTACTTCAGTGTTAGACCTACAATAACTTCAGTGCAGTTCTCTGATATAACTTCAGTGTTAGACCTACAATAACTACAGTGTAGTTCTCTGATGTTACTTCAGTGTTAGACCTACAATAACTTCAGTGTTAGACCTACAATAACCTCAGTGCAGTTCTCTGATGTTACTTCAGTGTTAGACCTACAATAACTACAGTGTAGTTCTCTGATATAACTTTAGTGTTAGACCTACAATAACTACACTGTAGTTCTCTGATGTTACTTCAGTGTTAGACCTACAATAACTTCAGTGCAGTTCTCTGATATAACTTCAGTGTTAGACCTACAATAACTACAGTGTAGTTCTCTGATGTTACTTCAGTGTTAGACCTACAATAACTTCAGTGTTAGACCTACAATAACCTCAGTGCAGTTCTCTGATGTTACTTCAGTGTTAGACCTACAATAACTACAGTGTAGTTCTCTGATATAACTTTAGTGTTAGACCTACAATAACTACAGTGTAGTTCTCTGATATAACTTTAGTGTTAGACCTACAATAACTACACTGTAGTTCTCTGATATAACTTTAGTGTTAGACCTACAATAACCTCAGTGCAGTTCTCTGATGTTACTTCAGTGTTAGACCTACAATAACTTCAGTGCAGTTCTCTGATATAACTTCAGTGTTAGACCTACAATAACTACACTGTAGTTCTCTGATATAACTTTAGTGTTAGACCTACAATAACTTCAGTGCAGTTCTCTGATATAACTTCAGTGTTAGACCTACAATAACTACACTGTAGTTCTCTGATATAACTTTAGTGTTAGACCTACAATAACTTCAGTGTAGTTCTCTGATATAACTTCAGTGTTAGACCTACAATAACTTCAGTGCAGTTCTCTGATATAACTTTAGTGTTAGACCTACAATAACTACACTGTAGTTCTCTGATATAACTTTAGTGTTAGACCTACAATAACTTCAGTGTAGTTCTCTGATATAACTTTAGTGTTAGACCTACAATAACTACAGTGTAGTTCTCTGATATAACTTTAGTGTTAGACCTACAATAACTTCAGTGTAGTTCTCTGATATAACTTCAGTGTTAGACCTACAATAACTACACTGTAGTTCTCTGATGTTACTTCAGTGTTAGACCTACAATAACTTCAGTGCAGTTCTCTGATATAACTTCAGTGTTAGACCTACAATAACTACAGTGTAGTTCTCTGATGTTACTTCAGTGTTAGACCTACAATAACTTCAGTGTTAGACCTACAATAACCTCAGTGCAGTTCTCTGATGTTACTTCAGTGTTAGACCTACAATAACTACAGTGTAGTTCTCTGATATAACTTTAGTGTTAGACCTACAATAACTACACTGTAGTTCTCTGATGTTACTTCAGTGTTAGACCTACAATAACTTCAGTGCAGTTCTCTGATATAACTTCAGTGTTAGACCTACAATAACTACAGTGTAGTTCTCTGATGTTACTTCAGTGTTAGACCTACAATAACTTCAGTGTTAGACCTACAATAACCTCAGTGCAGTTCTCTGATGTTACTTCAGTGTTAGACCTACAATAACTACAGTGTAGTTCTCTGATATAACTTCAGTGTTAGACCTACAATAACTACAGTGTAGTTCTCTGATATAACTTCAGTGTTAGACCTACAATAACTTCAGTGTAGTTCTCTGATATAACTTTAGTGTTAGACCTACAATAACTTCAGTGTAGTTCTCTGATATAACTTTAGTGTTAGACCTACAATAACTTCAGTGTAGTTCTCTGATATAACTTCAGTGTTAGACCTACAATAACTTCAGTGCAGTTCTCTGATATAACTTTAGTGTTAGACCTACAATAACTACACTGTAGTTCTCTGATATAACTTTAGTGTTAGACCTGGAATAACTTCAGTGTTAGACCTACAATAACTTCAGTGTAGTTCTCTGATGTATCTTCAGTGTTTGACCTGGAATAACTTCAGTGTAGTTCTCTGATATAACTTCAGTGTTAGACCTACAATAACTTCAGTGTAGTTCTCTGATATAACTTCAGTGTTAGACCTACAATAACTTCAGTGTAGTTCTCTGATGTTACTTCAGTGTTAGACCTACAATAACTTCAGTGTAGTTCTCTGATATAACTTCAGTGTTAGACCTACAATAACTTCAGTGTAGTTCTCTGATGTAACTTCAGTGTTAGACCTGGAATAACTTCAGTGTAGTTCTCTGATATAACTTCAGTGTTAGACCTAGAATAACTTCAGTGTAGTTCTCTGATGTATCTTCAGTGTTTGACCTGGAATAACTTCAGTGTTAAATCATTTCAAATATTTTAACTCAATTTAGATCATAGGTAAAAGTGGGGAGGAGGAGTTTAAATATATATACCACTTCAATGTTTAGCTAATTGAACTTATGGAACAAGGTGGTATTAAACTGGGTAGATGGGTGGGGTTACAACTTCACTGATGTAATGTAATTTTATTTTACTGTTGTAACGTGATATTATTAAGAATAAACCTATCTAACTGGAGTGAAAAGTCTGTGTGTTATTGTAGTGATTGGTTACAACTTCCTTGTATGTAGCCTCTGTAATGTATACTAGTTGTCAGTGAAATCCAAAAATAGATTTACATCCTGTATATCCTTGTCTATACCTGTCTCTGCCCAGCATTGGTGTTGTTTTTGAATTGTAGGACTTTGTTGCAATTGTTGTCAGTATATCACTATATAATTATGCTTGAACACTGACATTTGGATTCTGGGTTTCTATGGGGTTTAACTATCCATTCCCGAAGTCTGACTGAAAGAAACTGAAAAAAAAAATGCTTCTTGACATGTTTTGATTTAAAGATTTTTCGTCCAATAAAATGTTAAGATTTTGGGTAAAGGATTGAAAGACCATCAGTACAATAGACAAAAACCATGCTATATATTTTTCTGTTATTGAAAAATATTTTTGAGGTAGGCTATACTGTATTGTAATAGCTTTTATTATATTCAGTTAAGTCATCTGATTCTTCAGATAAAGATGTTTGTGAAAAAAGAAAAAAGAAGAAATTTTGGTCTTTTCAAAAAACCCTTAACTGATGTTCATGAAATTTTGTTGACACCTTCCATGGCCAAAAGTGAATCCAACTTGTAAATTGTATGGTCCCCATACCTAAGGAATTTTAGGGAGAGGGAAAAATTATTCAAATTTCAAATATCTTCTCAAAAACCACATAGGTTAGAATGAAATACTTGATGGACCTTAACATATAAGTTGCTTTACCAAAGTCGTGAATTTGGGATTAGATATACTCAGGTAGTTATTGGTAAATAGGAAACTTGATTGAGCTAGTATATATTTATAAGATTTGTTTGATTTCTGATCTATTATCTGTTAACACGGGATGTCAGTTAAAGTTATGCCCAAAGGCCTTTTAAGTGTTTTCTTAATTTTCTCCTTTATTTAAATAAGACAATATTATTTTGATGAATGCTGTGGCTATTTATGTTTTGTCTATAGCTTCCCTCTGACCCGTACTCTTCTGTGGCTGCATGTGGTTTTATATTATAAATCTTCAAAATTAACTGTGATTATTATTAGCTAATGGTAGGACATTGGTTTGATGAGTAGTCACTAGTGCGAATCTCAGCATGGACATGGTGTTGTATCCTTGGACAAGATGCTTTACTCTGCTTGCTCCAGTTTACTCGGCTGTAAATAAGTACATAATTGGGCAGTGGTGGAAATTTGGTGTTCAAGCTTTTAGTGTCAAATAGCAGCTTTGGCTGTTTACTATCCAGAGAGTTGAGAGAACATGCCTAGTAGCAAACTGCCCTACAACAACATATAATTCATCTAGGAACCAATTTGATGCAGCTGTGTTGCTGTGATGAGGCAGTATATAAGAGCTTCATATTAACATGTATTATTAGCAGTTAGTTGCATGTTCTTAACATGTCTATACTCCTTAACGTCAAGGTCAAGGTCACAGGAAGGGGTCAAATGATTAAATATTTCTGATCACTTTCACATACTCTTCTTAGGACTTTTACTTAATGTGGTCATACTGTGATTGTATAGTAAATTCTTTATGTCTTATTCAATCTTATATCAAAGAGATAGTGGTGAAGGCAAGGGGTCAGATGTGAAATTGCCATAATATATTGAAAACTTATAACTCAGTTTATCTTGTCTTGAATTTTACTGGGGGAAAATTGTTGCTACATTGGACAGATGTGAGAATAATGGGAAAGGGGAAGGTGTGGTGTGTTATGAATGAAAACATGTACCTGTGTAGGTCTCTTTGTTTTCATTTATTTCGAATGATTTCTTTCAAACTTTGTTTTTATGGGATAGATTCAAAATTCAATAAAGGCGGGATCTTAAAGTCACAACATGGCCTGTAGTTGGCACATCCATTTGTGAACTACTGTTGCTAAAATTACTGTTGCTTCACCTTACTTATTATTTTTCAGCAGGTGCTTGTGTTTGACCTTTTCATTATTGTGCACATTATAAAATTGCCACATATCAACAATACTGCTGAGATAATTATGCCTGGAAGCGAGAAATACTACATGCCTGTATGACTGCTTATTGTATAGCTTCACAGATCATTGTATTAAAACAATAATTACTGCTTGTTCTGTTATTTAAATGTGTATAGACTATTGCAAGTTATTCTTTCTGTATTTTTCTTCACTTATTTGCAAATTTTTGTGGTTTTCATTGAACTTGAAGAGAAAAGGAACATTTTTTTTTGGAAATCATAATACACTTATTTTTTATGTATGATTTTTTTTCATGTTTTTTCCTAATGTTATTCTAGTCTCGATATTTGTGAAAATAAAAGCCCTCCGAAATAACAACTTCTAAATTATATAGGAAATTTAAATGTCAACTATGGTATTGTTCTGGTTTTCAAATTCATTGAGTAACATTGTAACCTTGTTTTATATTGATTGACGTGTCATTTCTCCATGAAAGAAATACTGGTACATAACATCCTGCCGAGTTAATGTACTTAATTATACATGTACACTATAAACATGAATTGTCCACAGGATTATTGACTACATGCCTTTTTGCTTTAAAAACAATATTAAGGTATTCTTATATATTCTTGGGAATGACGATAATTTTATTTTCTTTTAATCTTTTTTCCCTTTTTTTCTTCAGGAATTAACAAAAAAGCAATTATTAGATGCACAGAGTAAATTTGACTACTATGACAAGGTAAGTTACAGATGTACACAGTAAAGCAAGGATATAATTCAATCAATTACTTCATTTACTGCCAATATATTTTGTTTCATTTCCTTGTTTGCTCCGCTGCAATAAAAGAGCAGGATGAGGACGAAGTGTTACATTACTGCAAAGCTTACTATTTGTGTTAACATAAACTTTAAAAAGTTGTCATGTGTTTAGCTCATTTTCTCAAAACCTTTTACGACCTGCAAGTTTTAAATTATGATTAAAAAAAGCTAGATTGAAAACAATTTTGAGGTTAGTTACAGGAAAATTTTTTATAAACTTCTGCAGGAACTTGGAATTGAACATTTATTGTATGCTCACCCCCAATAAATATTTGGCCTGTTGATTTTTTTTTTACCAAAATTTTTGTGTTGTGTTTTGAAACATTGTTTGTCATACTTTGGAAAATTAAAATACAATTTTAAATTACACAATTATAAATTTTACAACAACTTTTTTCTTAGTATGTCTATAATGGACTTTTTGGTAATGATTATGTGAAAAAGAAAATTATGTTCATGTATGAAAGTGTGGTCTTTGTGGTATGTATATAGTTCTCCTGTATTTTTAGGATAGGAATGGTGAAATTGATAAAGATGAATTAAGGGAACTCTTCATGGACATGTTTCCACATTTCAATAGGTATGTATGTGAAAGTGTATACTTAATATATTGTAATGCTATCATATTCAGTGTCCTTAATTAGAATGCTACATCTGCAGGTGTCATATAGTACTTACTACCTTTACTGCGTATCTACAGGTCTCGTGTGTTTTCATAATTTTTGTTTTTGCAGATTATCTCTAAACCAAGAATTCCATTTCATTAGTTTTATGGTACACCTTTGAAATTAGAGATGCAATTGACCTTGAGGTTTAACAATTTCCGAACACGAAGGTCACATTTTCTAAAAACAACAGAGATACCATATAGTATGTTTTTGTGGCTATTATCAAGCCTCTAAAGACAATACCCATGAATACTTCTTGTTATACATATATACCTGTTTTTGTTTCTCATTTATAGAGAATACAGTGTTTTGAAATATAAGCCATATTTTGGTGACGGTGAAGAAAGACAAAAGAGGCAGGCCTGTAGCGAGCCAGTTTTGTTTTTCTGTCCCGAGCCAAAATACAACTTATTAGGACACTGACCATGTATTTTATTTATCGTGCAACATCAATTTTCCATCACTGCCGATTACAACAAAAAAATATGTGGCAGGTGTATTCCGCCAACAGCGGTGCCAGTTGCAGGATGAAAATATATATAAACATGGTTTTGTGGTGTTTTCCGATATTGACATAAGCAGTTGGTTTGTTTTGCATCTTCAGGAACATGTTGGATCGGTATGTCAACGATGAGTTCCGGGCAGCGGATCGGGACTTCAGCAGTAGTAAGTGAAGCAAGAGTTAATGTAGAAATAATTTGTAGTAGTTCATTAATTAAAGTTACAATCTGTCCATTAGGTCTTATTCCCTGACCAAATACAGTTATAGCCCTTGTTTAGCATAAGTTGGCATATTTCAGTACTAGGTCAATGAAAATTACAAATTTTGTGTTTGAATATTGTCATATTCTCCCACTTTAAAGAATATTAGGACAGAATTTTGATCAAAATTTGGACTGAGATTAATTTTTCATGCTCAACTTCGTTCAGTTAGAAATACTGGTAATCAATTCTGGCAGATATTGTTTGTTTAGGTTACCTGTCACTCATGCCAAAAGGTAAAATGTATCCATTATGCTTGGTATGACTGTTGGCATGTAAACATAAACATTTAAGTTGCATCGTGATTGAGGCTGCCAAGTCTTGGTAAAGAAAACAAGATTTTTGCATGAACTTTTTGGTAATTCATTTTGTCATAAGTTTAACTGCTGAATGTGTTTTTGATACCATTCATTCGCTGAAATAGGTGTTGTCATGAACAATGGTAGATAGGGTATTTGTTTTATCTTGAAATAATTTACATGTACCTACAAGACTTTAAAGACGAATGCAGTATTGAAAAATATATCAGTATTTTCTGAAACAATGTGTGTGTGACTGACAAATTTAATGGTGAAAAATAAGTTCAATACTGTTAACAATCTCTCTCTGGCTGATTGCTTAGTGTAGATTCATTTTACTTTCCTTAAGACTTTTATAAAGTTGATGAGGGAACTGCATGGTATTCAAAATCTAAATAGTTGAAGAGATGTAATGCATGCTGGGATTATGAATCAACTAAAACAGTATTGCAGATAACCGATTCAAGTACTGATAAAGACTGCACAATGAAGATTTACAAATCCCTAAGCAAGGATTAGAAGTAGTTTTGTATCAAACACACTCAACCACTGCTGGTTGCCAACAAGTGGCCTGTTTTTTGTGAACTGTTAATGAAAGTTTAATGCTTTATAAGCCCATGTATTTTTATGGGAAGGTGGGATGGGGCACATTGTGTTACCCATGGCTGTCTGTCTGGTTGCATCCTTTTCCAAATCAACGTCATATCTTAAGAATTCTTCTTCAGATATTGTTCATATTTATCCCATATTATCATAACATCAAGATCTTCACAGCATCACATAAAAAGTGGTCATCAGTTAAGGTTAAAAGGTCAGAGGTTACATTTGACAATGCCTGCAAATTCTTTGAACAATGATTTAATATGCATGGATGCGATGATATTCCTGTCTTCAATTTTCAATTCTTAAATACAGAAAGTTCCTACAAGAAAGAAGTAATACTCTCTCTCATAGACAATTGCCATGAATTCTCCTTTAATAATGTCCAATAAGAAATTCTCTGTGTTCTGGATAAATAAATAAGTTCCAGCATAGCAAAATTGATTTTCTGTAATCCAGACTTCTCTCTAACTTGACAAGTTATCTGACCCCATTATTAGGTTTTTTTGATTTTGATTAAGGAGAATCCACTGACTTGAAAGACTTATCCAACTGTCATTTGGTTGATCAAACCTATGATGATTCTCTCAGTGGGCTTGAGGAGAACTTTGTGATATCTAATCTTTTATTTCATTTTCCTTCAACTGTTAATACTTGCACTTGTGCATGTGATAAAGAACTGTGTCCAACAGTAAACATTTATGGGCGACAAATGTATCTTGTCTCATGTCACACATGGTTTGTTATGAATGTCAAAAAGCCATATTATTGTAAATATGGTTATTTGGACAAGGTGTTAATTTTTAAGATTTCAGTATGCAAACTGTATGAAGTTAATAGGGGTTATCTTTGCAATCAGTGAACATTCGTATAGCTAATATATATTTTGATATGTATGTAATACTTCACATATTCATACAAGTGGGTGAAATTTACCTGGCCAAATGACTTTTGTGTAATTGGTGTTCTTAATTTCCCCTTCACCTCAATTTTAATATTTACAGTATATAAAAAACCTAAAACATTTCAGTGATAAAGAAATGGCACAATATTATTTCTTTCACCTCTGTTCACACTTGTTGTAACTGTTAATGAGAAAAAAGGAACGAAGATTAAAAAAAAAAAAAAAAGATGATGTTCTAACAGCTACTGTGATTAACCTAAGTTTACGAAATGTTTGGTCTCATTTTTAAATTCAGCTATTTAGCTTTGTTTTAGTCCTGTTACACATCTTATTTTGACACTGGAATTGTGTTTCGTAGGAGTTGACAAAAGTTGCCAAGAGGTCAATGCATCTGGCAAATGTTACACCTACATTTAAACCTGATCTAGTTTTGGGGATATTTGGACAATTTTCAACATTGCTTCAGACTAACATTAATTTAGTGTGAGATGTTTCTTAAAAACTATGCTTTCAACCCACAGGTATCACTTTTGATGAATTCGTGGAGATGTATAAGAGGCTGTTTATCTTGTGTAGAACAGTTGTTGCTGGTGATGTGTCTGATATTGTTCCACAACCAAGAGCACGTTCACCACACAGCAGGGTATGTTCTGTTCTATAAAATTTAACTTCAAAGGAGAAAATGGGAAAAAACCAGAAAATTCCTTCTGGACAGTGGATTCCAAGTTCAAACACAGATTCTACTTGGTTCCAAGAAACTTTTTTAATTTTCCAGATTTTTTTTTATTTCATATGCTATCTTCAGAAGATAGCTTTTCAAAACAAAAATATGAACAACATAGTTAAAGAGTTAAATGGTAGTACATGTAATGTGTATGATGTCTAGGGAGAAAAGGTAAGACCTTATATGAACTAAATAACTTCTGAGCTTGAAGAAATTGTAAAATACCTTTGTCTTTTGTAAAACTTCATAACAAACACTGCAGCCTGTCATTCATTAAAAAAAAAAAATCTGGAATGTTTTCGATATTTATCACATCAAAATTTGCTCTTTAATTGAAAGAGGAAAACTTAACCTTATTCTGTTTTGTTTATGTAAAGGGAAGTTTATCAGAAGGTAAAAGTTTTGTGGATTCCAAAAACCAAAAGAACCTGTTAAGTGGAAGAAATGATGACTTAAGAAACGGACCAAACAAGCACTCAGTTGAAGCAGATTTAATGGGAGGCAGCGATATCGAGGAAGATCCATTTTTTGATGACCCGATCCAGGGTTCTGGTGGTCTTAAGATGTATGGGAGGTAAGTGTTGAAACCATGATTCAGCTTGGTAGTGGTGTTTTTTTTTATTTTGTTTTGCTTTTTGCATAGGGAAGGATGTGTTTGTTTTAGAGTAGGTGACACTGTTTGCTTGTGCTATTGGATACAATTTATTTCTAACAAACGAAAAAGAATCGGAAAATTTCAGGGGAAAAATATAGATATTTGATTTTTTTGTTAGGGTTGAAATTTTGTTTATGCAAGAAATTTTGAATTTTGACTATAGCAAGAATTTTATCTACAGTATCAGGTAGTGTTATAATATCATTGTATGGAGATCGACAAATGTTTCTACATCTTAAATTTGAACAACAGTATCATTATTCCTTCAGCATACTCCAAACTGCTTATTTAGCTTAACAAAATATGTGGAGTATGCTTTCCTAAACAAAATCATCAGTTATTGATTGAAGAGAAACCTTGATATATTTTATGTATATCTGATGGTAACAAATTTAGAAATGAAGGATTTCATAATGACTATTTCAAAAGAACTTTTCACATCTGCTTTCTTCATATTACGTAAAAGTTGGTGAAATTAGTTGTGTTTTTCTGCTTATATAAATACTTTTGTTTCGGATGAAAATTACAGAAGCTTATTGATAGGCGGAGTTATTGTTTTCATGAATTTGACCTATTTCTTTTCTTGTTTTTTTAATAAATTTTGTTTTGTTTTATAAATATATCAGTATTTTAATTTGATTGATTTACGTTTTTCAGCCTAAGGACTTTTGTTCATTAGTTTGCATGACACATATTTATTTACATCTTCTTCACCTTATATTCACTTTAAAAATGGATTATCTGTCTTGTTTTCTCTCAGCATCTGATAATTACAATACATGGCTCGAAAGTGTCCATGTACAATATTAAATATTGGTTACGACAGAGAAACTTGAGCTAAATGACAAATAACAACAGAAAAGCATGTGCTTAATTGTTAATGCTTGGTATGCTCTCCTTTTTAACCACCCTCTAGAAGATTGCTATGATTAATGATGCTTTAATTAACCTCAATGTGTTTTTAATTGTTCATTTGTGATGTGAAAATGTCAAGGTACGTTTCACTTGTTCAGGTTTCTCCCTTGTCTTTCGATTATCTCCCTTTGCTTTCCCACCCAATATCTGGATACTGAAATAGCGTTTCTTCCCATTGGTAGCTCTTTCTACTGTGTACCCTACCCATTCTTTAGAAAGAAGTTTAGTTCCTATTGATACTGTCCTCTTTTCTCATGTTTATTTGAGATACTGCAAAAATTTCATCATGATTAAGTGTAAACGATATTAAAACTAGAATTGATCTTGTCAGTCTCACTCATACATCTAATTTGTAGCCATGAAACTTTCTCCTTTTTTGCTCTAAAGAATGTGAATATAAAATGTACTTTGATTTTTTTCCTATTTTTGATTTTGGGGTGGATATTTCAATGATTTTAAGATTTTATGGTTCAACAAACACATAATTTCCTGTATGTATTATTTCTGATTTTATGTGACACAAGTTGTGAGACAAAGAAAGTTTAAATTATGTACAATACAGAGTTTTAAGATGTTTTAGCAAGACAAGACCATGTTTTTAGGAATGGAATGAATCCACAATATGTAAAGCATGTGCCTTCATATAAATGAACACTGCATGTTGCAAGAACCAAATCAGTATTAGTATTTCTACATTTATGATGCATCCCTGTTTGATCCTCCACGTAATAATATATGGTATACTTCAGATATAATATTTCTTTCTATACACCTTGTATACTGACTCATATATCAGTATATATAGACCTACAGTAATTAGATTTCACCTTAAATAGCAGCCTTGCCCATACACATGAAACAAGGGACTGAATGCACCTTGTATAATTAAATGCCTTGCCAATTAGCACCTTGAAAAAATAAAGAAAAGATTATTCAGAACCTCAATTAAATCAACAGTATATCCGATAGTGTAGCTGTATAAGTAGACACCATCCTACACTATATTCCTATATTCAACCCCTCACACTGTATCAAAGCCTCACCTGAATGTTATGATACACTGGTCATTAAGTTTATTTGGGTTCGCCCTGTCAGTATTACGGATCAACCACAACCTCTGAGGCAGGACTCCAAGCCACGGCCGTCCCAAATCCCCGTGTATTCGTCACTCAGGAGGTGGGCTATTGTTTGTGTGCTGGACAGTGTTTGATATTTGTCCTAAACTGACCTTTGAGTGTCTTGGATTTGGCGTGATTTTATACTAAAAAATGTTGGTTTTTGATTGTAGTGTATGTGTTGCTCTTGAAAGTATTTGAGGGATTTTTGTTTTTAATTCACCATTTTCTTTAAAATTAGAGATGATCACTTGTTTTACAGATGTCCTGGCACCTTGTTTATAACCTTTTAATGGATTAAACAATTTTCCTTTTGTTTCTCTGATATAGAAGTAAAAATTTTCTGTTGAACAAACTTAAATAATTTTTCTACTAATTATGCACACATTTATTTCATTTCCTGGTGTGGAAAGCAATAGCCTGACTAATTTTTCTGAGAAATTCAGGATGTGAATGTAATATTTCATTCATTAGTTTTAATCATTTAGCCTTTATTTTGTTGTCATTGATTTCCGAATGTGGTAAAAATTGTAAACATTTTTTATAGAAATGAAAAAGTGTTGGAAACATTGATATTCTGAGAAAAATCTGTTATTCTGATTGACTTTCTATCTCATTCATGTATGGTAACAGAATATTAATTTCATAGTTGTAATTTTGGTAATGCTTTCAATGACAATGAAACATTTGATGCACTTATACTTGAACATCTAAATTTAGCTATTGCCATCAGTCTGCCGTCTATGACTCGCTGGTATTGTCAAAATACCACAATCGTAGTTATACCATTGTATTAATGTTCAGAAAGTTTCAATTTCTTTTTGCGATATCAAATTGGGTGTGTTCTGGTGTTGTTTTCCTTGTTCTCATTTGTTGATTTGGGAATGTGATGTTAAATGGATTGGCCAAGATTTACATGACAGGTGTCGCAGGTAAAGCTGAAGACACTTACTCTTTTGGAACACATGGTCTTATTTACCTTGAACTTTTAATGAGTCACCATGTACACATTACTTTTGTTTATATTTTCTCCTGGTTTTATTTAATTGGAGTTTGGATTATGATTATTTTGACATGTTTGTAATTTTCTTGTTTTTAAATGCCCAAATAAGGAAATATTAGAAATGTGGAATGTGGGAGGCCCAATATCGGTTACTGAGGCAATATGGATGACATCCAGTGTTATTTTTGAACAAATGACTCTCCTATAATTTTATAGAGAAAAATAAATCCCACCAGAAATATTAGTTATTTAAGTGTTCAGTCACAGGCATCAGGCATTTCATGTCAGTAAATCCAGACAGTAAGGGAACCATTCTGGAAGACATGTTGATATTTTCTTAGTATTAGAAATGATATTTAGAACCGTAATTGTACCAAGCTCCTCAGGTAGACATACTTCACCTTACTGCTGTTGTACAGAAATTGATTGCCATATGTCAATGATGCCTTTAGACTTCAAGCAAAAAGTCAGTACTGTTTGTTTCTTTTTCATAGTACCTGGTTTGAATAGCTCCTCTTGTCAGAAGTTGGTCAGGGTTACTATTAGTATCATTAGGAAGTCAATTTGTGCAGGACTAGGCAATACACATACTGGACCCATCTAATTCTTTAGAACTAATATTTATTTTTTTCTAAGTGTTGATAAATCCAACCTTTTTGACAACATATCTGAATTAGAAATCAAATCAGTATTGATTTGCATGTCCTGCTGATCAAGGTCAGCGTTTTGATATTTTTTCTAAATTCATAAAAAAAAAAAAGTTCAAATTGAGATCAATAGCCAGGTGAGTGTATCTAGGCTTGGTATTGGTTAGCTTTATTCTTAAATAAATATTATATTTTTTACCTCTAGCTTCATATCCTAAATTTTGCTTATTATTGATATCTTATTCTATTGTAAACAGTTCTTATTTTTCAATGGTATACCATAACTGGTATATTGATGTTTACATACAATATATATCAAGATCCACTAATAAGTTAACATTTGTTTAAAGATATATAACCTTATATAATATATATATGTTATTTGAGTTTTGTTTTTCTTCACTATTCATTTAACACATTTTTTATACTATTTTTGCAAAATCTCAAAGTTCAGTACTAAAAGCATGATCTGATCTTTCTATCATGATGCTGTTTACAAGTTCATATCAGTTGATTAAATTTTCGATAATGATATTTTGATAGATTTATCTTTGAAACAGTTTCCAATTTTCAATTATTGTAGTGATGAACGAGGAAAATCTCTGAATGGAAGCTCATTGAAGTCTCCACCTTCCAACCAGAAAAGTCCTGGTGGTGGTCTGTCTTCACTACAGGGCCTCCCCACACTGAACCAACAGAAACAACGCAAACCACGTAAGGATGCTTTTGTTTTAACATTCAGGTGAAAATTACTAACAAATCATGATGGTTCTCTATGGAAACTCGAGCGTACAACATTTAATGACACAAACAGTTTGAAGTAGATGCTACCAAATCTGATGTAGAGAGCCATCACCAAATTCTCTTTATTTCATCAGTTTCTGTAGTTTACTTCCCTAATGATCTATGAAATGGTTTAAGCTTTCCAATCTTGGCACATCTTCAGTTTCTCCTGGCACCTCCAGGTGTTTTATATTGTATTTCCTCAAATGAAATCTTTCATACATGCACAAAATATAACAAAAATATTTCATGATAGTCATACCCAAGTATGGATTTTATAGAGAATGTTTAGATCATCTCAGAACATCATTAATATTTTCAGAATGCCTTTTTGAAAGGCTTTATATTCATAACAGAAAAGTTGCCATTCATATGGAAAATGCATGTTGTACCCCACAAATATTCATAACCAGGAAAACTGTGTCATGGACCACCTCGTAGCGAGTCAGCTATTATTTTCCAAATTTGAGATATTACCTGAAATGAATATTCTGAGCTGTTTTTTTTTTTTCTATTTGAGGAAATACACAGAGTTTTGAGACTATTTTCACACTGTTAAAGTGAGCACCTCCTTCTTCATTACAGAGCAAATTGACGCCGATGACAGTTTACGAAATATGGATCGAGACTTAGCTGGCCTTGGTATTGATGGCGGTGTGTGTCCTTGCTTACGATCACAATATTATACCAGTATTACAAACTACCCCTTGACTGCTTTGTATCGTGTAAACTTTCATGTCAACATTTTCTATTGTTTTGTATGTCTGTTAGGTTTCAAATCACACTTAGGTCTTTTTCTTAAATGTTGATATTGGACAAAGATCATGAACTATAACAAAGACATTGTAGAATATATTTTTTTAAAAATGTGTAACTCTGACAAGTTCATAACCAAACGTTATTACTGTAATACTGGATGTTCAGATGATGTGTTAACATAATTGCCGTTCGATTCCCCAATTATGTTAGTTCCCTGATTTCCTCCCACAGTCATGGAGAACTATATATCAATTGAACGGAAGATATCTAATAAATCTGGCAGTATACAGTAATCATTGCAGCAAAATTTGTGAACTTACTGAAAATGAATTGTTGGTCACACATTCCTGACAACTATTCTACATCATATCTCTCTTGGCTTTCGTCAGTTTTCACTGTCACAACTTTGAGTCAAAAGTACATTTGTTTCTAGTTGCAGTATCAGAATTTTCTGTTTATGAATACATTGTTAATTAAGAATTACTTTTTTCATTAGTTGATATACTGAGTAATGATTGACTGAAGGTCTCAATTTTGAATGTATTTTTATTGAAATAAGCACCTAGTATTGTTTCTTATCTGCAGATGGAGACTTTGACTATGACGATGATGATTTTGTGAGTGAAGGGTAAGTCATTCTCTACAGCTATTTTTCATTGTATGAATAAAATGGATTTTTTTAGGTCATCTGGCCTGCAAGGTCAGAATGAAAATAGTAAAAAAACATGACCTATAGCCGGTGTGTTTTGTCCAGGGTGCTGATATTGGGCCTGTTGCATGCTGGGATAAAGGGCTTCCAAATTTGTTAAAAAGAATGACCTTGATTTATTTTAAAGGTCACAGGGCTCAAATGTCAAAATCTTTATACATCTTCTTCACAATAACCAAAAGGCCCAGGGTGCTGATATTTGGCCTGTCAAATGGCAGGATGAAGGCTAACCAAGTTTGTTCATGTAATTGACCCATTTTCATGGTCAAAGGTGTCAAATGTGTTAAAATGTTCAAAAGACTTCTTCACAATAACCTAAAGGCCCAGGGTGCTGATATTGGGCCTGTAGCATGATGGGATGAAGGACTACTGTGTTTGTTAAGTTATCTGACCTGAAGGGTCTAGATGACCTATTGCTAATAAGCATCCTCCGTTTGTGTGCACTGTCCATAAACTTTTCCTTTAAAACACTAATCCTGCTTAACACCTCAGTGGATTTTAACCAAATTTGATCGGAAACATCATTAGGGAAGGATAATCATTTTGTAAATTCATAAAGTTGATTAGACAATATGGTAGTTAGGCAATACTTTGCTTCAAAATGCTACCCTTCATTAATGCTTGAAATGAATTCAAATTTTGTCTATAACATCATTAGGGTTGACAAATAATTCTTAAATTCAGAATGTTGATTTGATATAGGGGACGTAGGGACACGGCCCCAAAATTGGAAGTTTGTCAATATTTTGCTTTAAAATGCTACTCTCCCTTAATGCTTGTGTAGATTTTAAGCAAATTTGGTCTGAAACATCATTGAGGGTGAGGAATCATTTCCTAAAATACAGAAAATTGATTTGACCCTTGGGGACTTGGGGACAGGGTCCCAAAAGAGGAAGGTAGTCAATATTTTGCTTAAAGAATGCAACTCCTTAATAACCAAGTTTGGTCTGAAACATCATTGCAGGTGAGTTATCCTTTCTTAAGGTCAGAAAATTGATTCAACCCTGAGGAACTTGGGGGCAGGTTCCCACAAGGAGAAGCTAGATAAAGTTTTGCTCAGAAATGCTTATCTTTCTTAATATGTCAGGGTAGATTTTAACTAAATTTGACCTGGAACATCTTCAGAGAATCGCAATGATATCAAACGTGCATGAAGTGATTCTGCAATTGTCCTGACCAAATCTTATTTTTTCACCTAGGTCCAGAATCTAACATTACTCATCTTGAACAGTTGTATTGAATTATACTCTCCAAGTTTCCTTCACACCATTGAGAAAAATATTTGGATTTGGATATATTGATTTGAAAGAAAGATATGTTGTTTTTTTTTTAGCTTGGTCAAAAGCTCAACATGGTAAAAACAGTAGCCATTTTGTGATATTTTCATGAACAGAACCAACCATTTATGAGCTTCTGATACTTTAAAGGAATATTCATAATATGAATTCATCAGATTTGTTAGACCACAATCAGTGCATTCTGTGGTTTGTCAATGGAGTCATTGATTGTCAGATGACAGTTAAGGGCCATCACCCTTTTGTTTCATATTATTGACCTTGACCCATTTTTAAGGTCACAGAAGCTACTTATTCTTAATAACCAAAAGGCCCAGATAGCTGGTATTAGGCATATAGTATGTTGAGATTAAGCACTATAATATCTATGAAAATGATTGATCTTGGTCTACTTTTAAGGTCACAGGTGTCAAATATGTCAAAATCTATAAATGACTTCTTTTTCGATAACCAAAATGCCTAGGGTGTTGATATTTGCCCTGTATTTTTCCTAGAGTGGTGGACTACAAAGTGTTGTAATATGAATGGCATTGACCCAATTTCAAGTCCAAAGAAGATAAATGTATAAAAAATACTTTCAATGACTTTTCCTCAATAATCAAAAGGCAAAGAGTACTGATATTTGGCTTGTAACATGCTGAGATGAAGGGTTACCAAGTTTGATCACATTAGTGACCTTGACCATTTTTCAAGGTCGCAGGTGTCAAATATGTAAACTTTTTAAAATAACTTCTTCTAAATAACCAAAAGGCTTAGAGTGCTTATATTGGGCAGGTGGCATGCTGGAAAAAATTACCAATTTTGTTCATGTGATTGACTTTTTTCTCTTTTTAATGGTGACAGGTTAAAATCTTCATTCAACTTCTTCTCAGTAATAAAATGGCCCAGGCTGTTGATATTTGTTCTTTCACATATGTGGATGAAGAGTTACCAAATTTATTCAAATATTTGACCTTGACCTATAATAAAGATTTCTTGGGTCAAATGAGTTGAGATCTTAAAATATTTTTTTCAACAAGCAATAGGGCAGGAGTAATGATATTTGTGTTTATTAAGAATATGGTTTCATGTTTGCAGAAAATATTTTTATGAACCAACAGTATCTTCTTTGTAAGTTGTAGAGTAATTGACCTATTTTATAGGCTTGTTCAGCCTCTTGCATATATAGATTTTTGGTGTCATATGATTGTTAAGACCCGTTTCACTTTGTTTGTCACCAAAATGAATTGATTTAAATAATTAAACAAAACATAACCAAAAAAATTAGGGGAAAAAGGGCATCAAAATTTTTATTTGTTTCGATGGCTTGTTCATGTAAAGAAATGGAATTAAAGCTTTGATGTTGAAGTGTTTGATGTTGTCACATTACAGACATAGTATTAGTACGAAAAGTCCACGAACAGTCAGCAAATCTGAACAAAAGTCGGCAAATGAGAATGGCAGCATAGCAGAGGAGATTGAGGAAGATATTGATGAAAACTCCATTGATGGTGATGATTTACTCCGAAGTGAAAGGAGTGGGGTAAGTCCTCCATCTTTGTAACAGCGAAGCATATTGTAGTCCTTGTTCCTGCCTCCATCTTGATAAGCAAGAAAATAGATTGTGGCCCATGCTCCTGCCTCCATCTTGATTAATGAGAGGTTGGTGTGAGGCACATATCCCTGCCTCCATCTTGATTAGTGAGAGGATGGTGTGTGGCCCATGTCCCTGCCTTCATCTTTATTAGTGAGAGGATGTGTGTGGCCCATGTCCCTGCCTCCATCTTTATTAGTCAGAGGATGGTGTGTGGCCCATGTCTCTGCCTCCATCTTTATTAGTCAGAGGATGGTGTGTGGCCCATGTCTCTGCCTCCATCTTTATTAGTCAAAGGATGGTGTGTGGCCCATGTCTCTGCCTCCATCTTTATTAGTCAAAGGATGGTGTGTGGCCCATGTCCCTACCTCCATCTGAATAAATGAGAGGATGGTGTGTGGCCCATGTCTCTGCCTCCGTCTTTATTAGTCAGAGGATGGTGTGTGGCCCATGTCTCTGCCTCCATCTTTATTAGTCAGAGGATGGTGTGTGGCCCATGTCTCTGCCTCCATCTTTATTAGTGAGAGGATGGTGTGTGGCCCATGTCTCTGCCTCCATCTTTATTAGTCAGAGGATGGTGTGTGACCCATGTCCCTACCTCCATCTGAATTAATGAGATGATGGTGTGGCCCATGTCCCTGAATCCATCTTTAATTATGAGAGGATGGTGTGGCCCATGTCTCTGAATCCATCTTTAATTATGAGAGGATGGTGTGGCCCATGTCTCTGCCCATCTTTATTATTGGTGTGTGCCCATGTCTCTGCCTCCATCTATGTCAGAGGATGGTGTGTGGCCCATGTCTCTGCCTCCATCTTTAATTAATGAGAGGATGGTGTGTGGCCCATGTCTCTGCCTCCATCTTTATTAATGAGATGATGGTGTGTGGCCAATGTCTCTGCCTCCATCTTTAATTATGAGAGGATGGGTGTGTGGCCCATGTCTCTGCCTCCATCTTTATTAGTCAGAGGATGGTGTGTGGCCCATGTCTCTGCCTCCCTCTTTATTAGACAGAGGATGGTGTGTGGCCAATGTCCCTGAATCCATCTTTATTAGTCAGAGGATGGTGTGTGGCCCATGTCTCTGCCTCCATCTATAATAGTCACAGGATGGTGGGAGGCCCATGTCTCTGCCTCCAGCTTTATTAGTCAGAGGATGGTGTGTGGCCCATGTCTCTGCCTCCATCTTTAATTATCAGAGGATGGTGTGTGGCCCATGTCTCTGCCTCCATCTGAATTAATGAGGATGGTGTGTGGCCCATGTCTCTGCCTCCGTCTTTATTAGTCAGAGGATGGTGTGTGGCCCATGTCTCTGCCTCCATCTTTATTAGTCATAGGATGGTGTGTGGCCCATGTCTCTGCCTCCATCTTTATTATTCAGAGGATGGTGTGTGGCCCATGTCTCTGCCTCCATCTTTATTAGTGAGAGGATGGTGTGTGGCCCATGTCTCTGCCTCCATCTTTATTAGTCAAAGGATGGTGTGTGGCCCATGTCCCTACCTCCATCTGAATAAATGAGAGGATGGTGTGTGGCCCATGTCTCTGCCTCCATCTTTATTAGTGTGGCAGAGGATGGTGTGTGGCCCATGTCTCTGCCTCCATCTTTATTAGTCAGAGGATGGTGTGTGGCCCATGTCTCTGCCTCCATCTTTATTAGTCAGAGGATGGTGTGTGGCCCATGTCTCTGCCTCCGTCTTTATTAGTCAGAGGATGGTGTGTGGCCCATGTCTCTGCCTCCATCTTTATTAGTCAGAGGATGGTGTGTGGCCCATGTCTCTGCCTCCATCTTTATTAGTCAGAGGATGGTGTGTGGCCCATGTCTCTGCCTCCATCTTTATTAGTCAGAGGATGGTGTGTGGCCCATGTCTCTGCCTCCATCTTTATTAGTCAAAGGATGGTGTGTGGCCCATGTCTCTGCCTCCGTCTTTATTAGTCAGAGGATGGTGTGTGGCCCATGTCTCTGCCTCCATCTTTATTAGTCAAAGGATGGTGTGTGGCCCATGTCTCTGCCTCCGTCTTTATTATTCAGAGGATGGTGTGTGGCCCATGTCTCTGCCTCCATCTTTATTAGTGAGAGGATGGTGTGTGGCCCATGTCTCTGCCTCCATCTTTATTAGTGAGAGGATGGTGTGTGACCCATGTCCCTACCTCCATCTGAATAAATGAGAGGATGGTGTGGCCCATGTCTCTGCCTCCATCTGAATTAATGAGATGATGGTGTGGCCAATGTCCCTGAATCCATCTTTAATTATGAGAGGATGGTGTGGCCCATGTCTCTGCCTCCATCTGAATTAATGAGATGATGGTGTGGCCAATGTCCCTGAATCCATCTTTAATTATGAGAGGATGGTGTGGCCCATGTCTCTGCCTCCATCTTTATTTGTGAGAGGATGGTATGTGGCCCATGTCCCTGTCTTCATCTTTATTTGTGACAGGATGGTATGTGGCTCATGCCTTTGCCTCCATCTTGACTTAAGTAAAATGATGGCCTTTTGGCATATTGCTCAATAAAGAAATGAAAATGTCTCTAACATTTTTGAAAAAGTAGAGTGGTCACAGGATGTGACATTGTATTGTATTGTAACTAATGTTGGTATGATTGTAATTGAATCCATTTCTGTTTATTCTAGTTTGATGACCTTACAACAGACAGAACAATATCACAGCATGACGGCTTTGATTATATAGAGGATGTCCAGTCTCCCTGAATGTTGGACAAAAAAACAGAAATTACTGGGTAGATTAATGTCTATGGACAGACATCTTGCAAAAACAACAAACATTGCCAAAATGGAAATGATGATAATGCTCTTTTCAGAATTCTATAGAATAGAGACTAGACAGACTAAATTAACAATATTTATGCAATATTCTCTTACTAGTCTTGTGGCAACAGACTAGTATCCTAAAATGTACTGTCCTGGAGTAAGGGAGATAATCTAATACCATGTACAACCTCCTAAAGACTACCTTGGAATCAGGAGGTGAGGAATCCAGAGCTAATAATGTATTACTATGGGACTTGATGAGCATTTGAAGCAAACATACCAGGTTGTTAATATTATATGTGACATTTAAAGCAAAAATTATGAAGAAATTGCAGATATTGATATCGGCTTTGGAAGGCCTTCTGAAGGCTTGTGAGAAAGTGTAGGCCTTTAAAATAACATAGTCATCAAATACAAAAACCGTTCAAATTGTTGAAAAAAAGCTCTCAAAATTGATGAATTCACATGCACAGAAAATACAGCATAGGTCTTAGATATACATCTATTTGAAAGTGTAAATATTTATCAACTCAAAATAAATCTCTAATAACTATTTGTCTCATTTGTCTAATACTTCATACCAGTAACTTTTATACAGAAGTTGTTCATTACAATCCCTCTTCTCAAAATTGATGTTATTTGTTGAATATGTTACACTCTCAAGCTTAATCTGCATCATCAACATTATCATCAATATCATCATCAACATTATCATTGTTCAACAACTGAAAGGCCAGATCTCTCTTGAGATAAACTGTATGAAGAGGATGTCATTTGTTTGCGGGTTGGGGAAATGATCTGTTTAAAAAAGTACATTTTCAAAACGTATTAAGCAATTTTAGATATCAACATTGTCTTTTATGTTTTTCTTGTGTGTTACTGCATTACATCCAGGGAATGAATCTCTGATTGGATAAATTTTACATAAAAACAATCTCATTGAAACATACATTAATGTTTACAACTCTTTCACATTTTCAAGTTACGGGTACCCCATTTATGCATGTCAAGTGTACCACACAGTTACTCATTACAAACTTACATTATTGTTACAAAGTATTGTATGTGAGGGCATCATTTGTGCTACATTATCAGTAAATAAGAAGAGATTTAAAATAACCAGATTTGGACTTTTAAAACAAAGTCTACGAATATGAAAAACTGCCAATGCATCAAATCCATTTGCAAGTTAGATTATTGAATGACATACATAAAATTAACTTGCCTTTCATCAAGACAGCTGGGGACTTGTTTCGCTGACCTAAAAAGTATATTGTCACCTGATAGACAATGTGAGTTATCTTTGGGTATATTTCTTCCTACTCAAAAGTCAACCAGTCTGCTTCCATCCAGGTCGACAAGAAAAATTTATATAGATTGTTTTCTAATAGTTTTAAGATAAATCATGCTGTAATCATGCTGTATTAACCAGACTATAGAATATGATAAAACACTTCTCTAGTGGTCCTACCATATATATTTGCAATATTCTTTTATAAAATCATTAATTCTAAGGATTTTCAATCGGTCATTTGGAAAAATTGAAAACAGAAAAGTCTATTCATGAATATAGATGTAATGGAGGTCATTATTTGTTTCAATTCCTCCACTATGTTTTGAACTAGTCTTACAGTAAACAGATCAAGTTAATGAGAAGTTCTCTTTCTAGCCAAGCAGTATATTGCAGCTAGTATTTACCAGGGTTACATACTCCCCGCTCCAGGAAAAAACTTGTACTCAAATTTGCAGGAGTTGTACTCAAGTTTTCAAGAGTTGAAAATAATTCGTGTAGGGCATGGCTAAGTATCCTTCCCCAGTTCCTACACAGGAACCAATGTAACAGGTCATTATTTATGTCAATGCCTCTACTAGGATTTGAACCAGGGTCCTCTGGCTTACTAGTCTTATGCTCAACTGATTGAGCCAACGAGTTTTTTCTAGATGAGCGGCATATTTTGGTTATAATCTACACAATACTGTTGTTTTTGATCTCAGTATTGATATTGGTGTTTACCTAACAATACAAAAAGTCCCTTTCCTTCTTGTTAGGAATACCATATTACACATTACTGCTATGTACATCTAGACATCATCGCTGCAATTATATAGTTTTTGTCTGCAATGAAAATATGCTTGTCAATATTTTGTATTGCCTCACTTATGAACTATGCATATTGTTTAATCTCTAATCAACGAATTAAATGTTGTTATTCATGCTTATTAAAAGGTATGAGGACATTTTTTCCTCCTTTCAGATTGTTCAGTTTGCATCAAGGGAAAAAATGAATGAATATTATCTCCATATTCCTCAGAATTACTTCTGGAATAGCCCTATGAGCTGTCTTACCGGCTAAAACTCCAGATTTACAGGACATCAGTATACATTGTCTGTCCTTTGTTTTTTATGTTCTGTTACACTAAACTTTATGTGTGCAAGTGTCGGGAGATTTTAATCTAGCTGTCAATGTAGTGAGCCTATATATTTGTCTCTATCCTTGCCAAGTGCTTATCCTTTGTCTAAGTTGTTGTCCATTGAAGCTGAAATCTTGACTTGGTCATAGAGTTCTTAAATACCTAACCCACTGATACACCAGAATCAAAGAATCCTGCTTTTTTCATGGAAGATGAAAGATTCATATTTTTTGATAAAACATTTTTCATGATAGTTTTCTGGAAGATATCTTTATTGAAACTATGTATTAGGGTGGTCAGGTTGGGCAGTAGTTATGTACTTGCCCCTTTAAACTTTCACCAAGAAGATGGGGTTCAATCCCTGATCGGTCAGGAAAATGTATGTGTTCACCTTCTTGACCCTGTGGGCTTCCCACAGGTAATCCAGTTTCCATCCGAGCTAACATCAGTGCAAATACATGTGATATAATTTGTTTTGCAATAGTCGTAATATAAATGAAAGTTTAAGTTATAAAGCGGAACACATTTGATATGACCAGACCTTGGCATATAGATCACATTGATGAGTTCAGTTTTTAATCTTCGTTATGTTTTACACCAGTGTGTATGAGTGTAGAGTATGTACTTCACTTATTGTTCTGTGTGCTCTTTCAAGTTTTATTACATTGTAATGGTTGTTTGTTCATTTCTTTAAAGATCATATTGAAACACTTTATGTATACAGGCACAACTTTTTGTAGAAACAATTTTCCTGTAGACACTTACTGTAAAATCAGATATTTTTGTGGACTCAATTTTTGAGGTTTTTGAAAAAAAACCAGTATTTTGTGGAATCTTGATTTTGTGAATGAATATAGGTCAATAAATCATCCTGACCTACTAATTGATCACAGTCTAATCTTAATGCATAAATTCATATGGCCACAAACAAAATCAAAACGTAAATCCTCCACAAAAATGTATGATTTTACAGTACAATATGAGAAAAGTGTGCTTAGTATCAGATGGAAAGGATGTTCAATATTGAAAGTTCACTCAGTGATCCTTACATCGGCATTTTCTCATACAAGGAGAACAAAACACATAATTGAATACTGTCTATAAAATGCTGTAGATTTCCGTATCCATCCTTGGTGCCAATGATCCGTCCATTTAAACTTTAGTGCTTTATATTTGAATCTTCTATATCCAGCCTCTGGATCATTTGAAAACAAAAGAAAATGACTCTGCCCTGAAAAATTTGGATCCAGTCATTTTACAATATAGATAGTTTCATCTTAGAAATATTATTGACTTTGCAATGCCTTAACGTACTTTATACAATAACAGATATGCTTGGTTTTCTTGGTCATTCTTAATACATTTGTTGTTTTTATTGGTAGGTGAGAGGCGGTGGTGATGTTTGATTTATAAAGTTTTTCATCTACAGAGAGGACAATGTATTTCAGGTTTTAGAATTGTTCAAAATACTGTAAATCACTTTTTCATGGGGTTTATTTTGGTGATTCATTGTGTGACTTTAATCCAGTGTCAACTTTTTATTTCTCAAAAAAGAAAAAAGAAAAAGAAAAAAAAGGTAATTTGAGTCCCACAACAAACATATGATTTCAAAATTGTGAAAATCATGTGGATTCTGGCAGAGTAAGATTTAATACAGCAACATGTATAACCACCCTCTCCTGGATTTGTCTTCATATCCAATATACACAGTATATGTAGTATATCATGCGTACAAGGGCACCTGACATGTAGAATCATTTTTGATTGATTTTACTCCCCAGATTCCTGGAGCAGTTTTGTATGATAAACTGGATGTAATATTACTCATCTCAATCTTTTATCCTGTTTTTGAACTCTTTATTTCAATATTTCAATAGTGAGAAAGACATGCTTCTGTATAAACGTTCTGTATCAACATCAGAGATTTAATTTAAGATTACATATGTTTATTGTCATTTTGTTTTGTTACATAACATATAATCATTGTTATGTAATTTGTATGTATACACAAATATATATATATATGTATTTTATGAGGAAAATAAATAAAATCATGTAATTAAGAAGTAACGACTTTTTTGTAATTCTTAATGTTCAACAAGGTTGCCCCACTTTGGTCTGTCAATACTCACCAGTTTTTTCAAGTATGTTTCATATTCAAGCAAATGTGAGGATCGTATTTTGATATTGAGGCCCATAGATTTGGTGTATGAAATAAAAGACCCACTGTGGAGATTTATGTTTTATCAATACTTGCAAGCATGGACTTATTTCAAAATATACAGTTTGCTTAAATATCTTTGGGGAGGAGAGGAACAGTTCTGACAGTTGACGACCAACGATAGGAAACTTATAGGGAAATGAAGTCTACAAACTATTATTAGTTGAATATGTATTTACATATACAGTATTAAGCGAGAAAAAAAAGTCCATAACACCAATGATTATTTCCATCATTTTACTGTGTATTTTAAATACAAATCTGTCAATATTTACATAATACATTTAGGTTAGTATCATACAAAACACCAAAAGAATCAATTGATATGAAAGACAATGTCCAGTGTATGCGTACTATCAATAAATTTCTCCTTACACATTTTGTTCAATATTACGTCTCATAACATAGCAAGTAGCGATTAAATCAACACTTTTGACATTAAAACAATTGAATCTCATTCCGTAAGTGACCACAAACACCCAATTTTCATTGACCACTATCAGAACCACATTTCTATATCATATACATGTATCCAATATTTGTCATTTTCTACTTTAATAAACATGTTAAATGCACAAGGTTTATCCCAAACTATCTGTGGCATTTTATTTCACAATTTTGATGGTATAGTAACATTATGCATGTGAACACGTGTCTCAGATTTTGTAATTTTTTTCCAAAAATTACATATACTCTGAAAAGAGAAGACATGAGTCTTTATTTCAGAAGCAAGATCCCATTTTTGGAGGTTTTGAATTTTAATAAAGAATTGATGTAAATGAAGGCCTGATGAAAACATCTTCTTGTGCTTAAATTACAATGTAGCTTTGACCTGACAGATATTTCAGAAACATATCTTAATACCAGCTAAATCAATATTTCTAGAACAATACAAAAGAGAATTAGGTGTTCATAAGTGCAACATCTCAAGGAAACATTACTCTGAAATAGCATATCATTCCTTTTTCACAACTGACCCAGCAATAGGATTGTTTCATCAAAATTTCAAATGCTTTTCAGATTTCATCATTACACTTTTTTTGCAGTGAAATTTAACATTTTTCCGGTGAAAATATAATTGATACTTTCACTGAGAGGACAAAAACTAATTTTGATAATTTCAATCCTTGACCAATCAGATCACACTATTTTTAGTGAAATATCAATTCTCCACAAATGCATTGCAGACTGTAGGAACAGCACCTCGGGCAGAGATAGCCCTATGAAATGGTTGGAAACTCGCTTCATTTTTATATTTGGATACTGATCAATCAGAATTCAATCAGAGTGTTTCATACATTGTTTATTTAATCTATGTGGTGTTTTTAACACTATTAATCATTATACAAATGAAGACCAGCTTCAAATGAATACAGATTATATTGTAAATAATTTTGGCTCATCAAAAGAATGGGCATTTGATGTATTATACATTATTCTATCAAACTGATCCCACTGACGCAAAGAGATTTTAATAAAACATGATTTCTACAGTAGGTTTTCTGTACAAATTAAAGAACAAAATAGAAACATATTGTTTGAAATCCACATAGCTTAGCAACCACCGTCTTCCCATTACTAGATCTATAGAATGTTGTCATATTTAGGAAGTAAAGTAAACCAGTTATACAGGATGAAGCCCTCACCGAAATTTTTAATCAAAATCACTAATTTTTTTCTTATTTAGATCAATATTGTGGTTTGTCATCTGAAAGAAATCTCAGCATTTCACTTGATAACCAGACATAAACATTGATAAAAGTCTATGTTTGTAAACAATGAGATCAGATCATGATCATCAAGCATCTGAGCCAAGACTAGAAACTTCTAAGTCAAATATGACTACATTTTCACAACAGTTCAAATCAGCGAGTCCATGACTTCTATTCATTGCAGTCTGTTACCCCATCCACACATACACTCCAGGAAATTTCATTCCAGTCCAATTAACATTAAAATGTTCTGGAAAAAAGTCCTTTCTGCATGGCACCTTTAAACGGTAGCTGTGACATCACCACTGTAAAGCTTCACAATTCTGATACAATTTACTTTCGTTTGATCGCTTCATCTCCTAAAAGTGAAAACAAAATTGAAGATATACACTTCATTTTACAATCACATGTCTGGCCTTAAAAAAGCATTGCTTTTTTGAGGCAAAAATGCTGTTTTTCTTATGGAAGTTGTGATCCAGACTGTGTTCTCTTTATTGATTTGATTACCAAGATGTCACTTTTAGTGAATTCTTTTCCATCCTTGAAAATAGCTTTTATGGTATTACTTTATACAATGTTAACCACATGACCATCTTATGTGAAGAATTAAGAGATGAACGATTTGGAAACTTATATTTTAGTAATAAAGGCCAATAACTGTACAAAAATTCAGGAAGATATGACTGTGCTGAAGTGCAGACTTACTTTTTCTGTTGCATTTGTCGCACCTGCTCGACTTGTTTGTTTAAGTTTTTGTGAAGTAAGGCCAGGCTTTCCTGTACAAAAATATATAAATCAGAAATATAATGTCATATGTTTGATATCCCTAAATTATCCATGTCTCTACCATTTAAAATTCCTCTTGTTTCACATCTTTCAAATTTGAGCAAAATTTTTTCTACATTTGATGATGTTCAGAAGCAAATTTAAGGGAATATCTTTGTATAATATGATTTATAAGCAAAGATTTATAACTAAATATTTACATTGAAACAGTAAATTGAACAGCAAAATTTTTACTATACCAGCCACTCAAGGGAGCAGAGAAATGAACATTTATTTTATTTGCATGAAAACTGATGCAAGATTCACCATGAAATGCTGGTAACTGCTGAATGTTAGGATCATTCTCAAAGTTATTTCTTTGGTAACAATGATTAATCAAGAAAATAAAACTTACATTTTCCTGAAGAAGTAGATTATATTCCTCGGCGAGACGAGTACTGCTTTGTTGATTCTTCTCATCCATTTCAAATTCTCTAATTAAATCATTCCTGGAAAAATATAGCTAAATGTTGAATATGATCTGTGTGCTATGTCTTAATTAACATCAATTATGTCTCAAACTTTTTGGTTTCAACAGCTAATGAAGTATTATCATTAGCATAAAAATAATGGAAAGGACATTTTATCAATATTATGGCCCAAATCAATAATAATATGAGACCTTCCGCTGGATTTTAGCAAAAATTCTGTGAAACATGCTACAAGTCATGACAAAAAAATATCTCAAATTCATCATATAAAACCTTTTCCCAGTCCCCATCTCTTTCAACAAGAGGTTTTCAGATTGATTTTGGTACTCACTTTCTCTGTGTTAATAATGCCATTTCTGTTTGAACTTTCAAATACTCCTGAGCAAGCTGTAAAAGAACAAGACAAATTTCGATTAAAAACACATTGTTGTTTGAAATTACTTCTGATCAACATCAGCATATCATTCACAATTTCTATACATGTGAAATAATGATTAGCAGGAAAATGGCTGTACCAGCGTTTAAATATCAGAAGCCATCAGACAAGGCTAGTCACATACAATGCTTTTTACCTTGTTACGAGGACCTTACCTTCAATGTGGGTAAATGATGGTCCTTACCTTGCAATGTTGGTCAAATATTTCCATGGATTCCCTACTAGTAGGACATGGTGCGAGAGGCTATAAAAAGAAGAAAAAAAAAATACAAACTGTATCACACAGATCACACTACATTTTATCATACTGTATATGTATGAAATCTAAAAATCCGCTCCAATTAAAAAAAAATTCATCAGAAGTATGACTGAAATTAGAGTATGCTATGTCAAATAAAGTTAAAATTGATATACCCCTATCCCTGGATCAAAGGGGTCATGGGTGACTTTTAACCTTGGCCATCAAAATCTAATTGGAATAGACCTTTGTGTTATGATGCCATGGTGTAAATATGAACCAAATCTATTCAGGGTTTCATGAGGTATTGTGTACACAATGTTATCATGAACACACAATTTATGTACAGAGCACAGATCCTCAGACAAAATTATTACTATATCAACATGCCACTCCCCTCTTACATAATGGAAAAGGGGGGGGGGCATATACATCGTATAAAATCCTTTCATGATGATGGATCTGTATTTAATGAAGAGGGTAGAAATAATGTAAACGCTCTTTTTAGTGCCATATCAATTTGTGACATTAGCCCAATGATGAATAAGTACATCCACAGTTACTGCTATGTACTATGTAAACAAAACACAGCAATTGAATTAGTGCAGTCATATTTTAGAGCAATATTTTCAGTGCAAAAACTGCCAAAGTAAGATTATCGCTAAACTAAGTATGCATACAGTATGTAACGCCAAGTATAACAAACCTGCAGTTGGTGGTCCAGTGACTGGTACACTAGGTTCATGGCAAACGAGTCAGCATTCGACATTCCTGTACCTGAAATCAGTTTTTGAACTACAGAGTTTGGCTTAATAATGACTTTTCCAATAAGCTTCAAGCTAAGACTGCATTTCCTAAGATTACTCTGTTTTTAAAAGTTATAACTGAAAAATTACATGTGGATTTTGATTCACATTTAATTCTATATTTGTATTCTCAAGCTGATTTGGTAATTAGATAAACATTTGAATATTGTGAGACAAATATCAACTTTGGTGTCAATTACTGAGTGAAAACATGTTTCTAGTATATCATTCAGACAGTGATGATGATGATGATGATGATGATGATGATGATGATGATGATGATGATGATGATGATGATGATGATGATGATGATGAATCTAGTGATGATTGCATTCTGTTGGTCTTGAAATCTGTAAGGACTCAATAACCCCATTAAATGTGTAAAAATTGTCCCTGAATTTATAAAGGCTAAAGTTTTTCCTTTCTGGATTTGTAAAGTACTATTCAACTACACGAAATTCAACTATAAAACAAGCATATAAACTAGAATATATGATTTTTTTTTCTTTTTAAAACTAAATAAAGAAGAACTTTTAAAGCAATTTGTCACATCCAAAAACCATTAACATTTCACTTTGTCACAGCCACAATTCACTTGAGAAACGGTCACAAACCATGCCAACACTAAGAAACAGTAATGTATTACATAGAACAGATGCATACATGCTACATGCACAAACTGAACAAAACAAACTGTTGATGTAAAAAAAAACACCTATGAAAAGTATGTGCTGTGTGTTTTTTTCATTTAAAAACGACCAAATGACAACAATTTGTTTTGAACCTTCTTTCTTTATTCTACACTCAAAATTTTGAAGAATTTTAGTCATATTATTCATTGAATCCATCGCTACTAACTGTGCCTGATTAAAAGCAAATGAAAGAAAATAATTCTGCAATCACATACTAAGCCACCTATATCGATAATTAATCCAGAAGCATTGTGACATACAAAAATTATTGCACCAATAACTGCCCCAAAGCTGTGACCAATATGGGTATTTAAATGGAAAAGTAAATGCAAGAGAAAAATTATCTGAGGATCTGCTTAAAAAACAAAACCAGTACTGGGTATACTGTATTTGTGACATGCAATTACGGTAATTATAAAGCAATTTGAAAGAATATAACAAACCTAATCATAAATATATGGAAAATGAAAGTAGATATTCCTAAGATATGTCATGATTAAATTCTGATATGATCCCAATCATAAATACTTGGAAAAGAAAGTAGACATTCCCTCTGAGCTTGTGTATGATTACACACCTACAATTTGATTGATAGGTCGTGGTTGGGGATCAGAAGGCTGGTTTCCTCCAGTTACCATGGTCACTGGCACCACAGACATTTCCGACGTCCACGATGCTGCACGGACATTATGGGGTTGAACCCGTTCCGTTGTTTGTGGTGGCTGGTATGAGAAAGACCTAACAGGGGAAGGGGTGGTTTCCTGAGAGGTCTGATTGAGGGTGCCAGGGTACGTGCTTACATGGTGAACTGGACTGACTGAGACAGGCCCTGAGTGGGGTAGGATGGGTGCAGTATTTACAAACACAGGAGAACTTCTATGATTGTATCGTATTTGTGAGACTTCATCAGATCCACCCCTTCTGTGGCCCCTTCCTGTAAATAAACATAATGCCATCACAGTACAAAACCCTTGCCCTCACAGGGGCTCAACAGGGATGTAATCATCTACATCTCAAATGAAATATTAATAATAGGCAAGACGAACAAGTCAAGGGAGACAATATTTGTTTTAAATTATTTCACATTGAGCATTTCAGGACAGCTGTTAGTGATGATTAAATACCATCATATGCTGTTATAATGTGCAGTGAAAACACAAGATTATATACATATGTACATGTAATTAGTGTTAGTGTCATAGATACATTTTCTATTTGAAATCATATCAAAATGAATAAGTTCATTTTAAATTCATTCAAAGTCATAACTTTTAGAAATTGAAAACAATTGGAATAATTCAACAATATTATAAACCTAAAACATGAACATAATCACGATATTTTTTCGGTTTTTTATCTTTTTTGTTTTGTTTGTAGTTGTTTATTTCATGTATTTATATGTAATTAAACATGAATTAATCCTTATCAAATAAAAATTCTTGCAAATAGTTTATCATTATTTGGAAAACAAATTTTGGATAAACATGTCTATGAACTTAAAAAATAGTTTGCATTGTTAATATGAAAGCTTATACACAAAAAACATACATAATTCTCATTTATGATAACATGACAAAAACAAATTAAGAATATGTTTAAATTATATATACTGCAAATCACTTATTTTTGCTAGGGATTATATTTCATGTTTTTTCACAAGCAGTATCATTTGCGACTTCAAATCACTCATGAATATGCTTTCGCTGATGTTGGCCTTAAATGACTTTGATAGTGTAGTACCCTTGAAATCATGTATCTGTGAATAAAACAGTCACTTACCTTTTGCGAAATTAAAACTCGCTAAAATAATGTGATTTACAGTATATATTTAATGTCAGGTATAAAGATAGCCATTAAATGGAACTACTTGATATTTGAAAGTCTGGCATTGATGATGGGAGAAGAAAGCGCTCACCTTGCGACGCTGTTTGTATGGGGAGTCCAGCGGAGGAGAACATGGAGGGCGTACCATATGAGCCCGCCCTACGATGGCCTAATGAGTATACATATATATAACAACAGCACAAACATGACAATTAGGATATTACATAGCTCTCTGGTTCTGTAACAATTACAAGTGCTGGTATAACTCAATTATCACCAGTTTACCAATTGTAAAGGTCTTCCCTGCATACTTCAGTGACAAAAATACTTGTAGTTGAGTTTGAGGACAAGTTTTAAAAAGTATCATTTAGCAATCAAATTTTGCTGTCAAGTTTTCTAATATGATTCAAAAGTTATAGAAAATATCTGGTAAAACATTTTTCATAAAGCCCAGTGACAAACACTTATTGGCTGAACCAGAAAACTGTGATAATATTTACAGAAACAAATTAGAAAAGTTAGTATTGATGGGTATAGACAAAAGGCAAACCATTAGTATCATGAGAACGTGTAACAAATGATAATAATCAGGTTGTTTATTTTTAGTAACAAGAGGCCTATAGTGACAGTTTAGCTCATTTATTGAAGTAGATATAATATGTAAAATATATATGGTCATCCATGTCTTATTGACCAATTTAATAACTGGTTGAGACAAAACAGTAATAACCACAAGTTTTGTAGTAAACAATCTAATGAAATTTAAGCATCTTAGCACCAAGAGGCCAGGGAGGATTATTACAGCTTCTGATCAGAACCATAGGAGCACAAGTCATACAAATTTTGATTTCTTTTATTACCGAAAGGAAATTGAAGATCAAATTTACTCGCCACTTTAGGAATTCTTTCTAAGAATCAGTTTCCTTTAACAATAGGCTGATTTTTTTTTAAATTATCAAATCATTTACTCTTAACACTGGACCCATCTACTCTATATGTAGTGTATAAAGTACATATCATCCATCATTAATCTATGGTACCTGGGAATTCATTTCAACACCAGAAATAATCCATACCAAGTTTATTCAAAATCCCTTCATCTATTCTGTAGAAGTAGTCTTTTCATGAAGAAGTGGTATACATACAGGATAATAACATAATCTGCACAAAATTTAAGTTTCCCTTGGACACTCTATCAGACTAAAAATTTACAATTATGTGTGATTAATATTTTATATCAAAGGCTGGAAGAAAATTACGATAATGTAATTAAAGCCATTTAAAATATTCCATGATAAGAATTGAATCACCTTCTGTCTTTTAAAACAAGAGCACTTGGTTATATATTTGTTTTAATGGATTTATACACACACACATATAGATATATATATATAGTTCAAGAAGCTTTGACAGCTATCATCATCATAAAATGCCTGTGAAAAATTAATTGAAAATTTGTTAAAACATTAGAAATGAACTTGATCCAATAATTAAAATTTAAGATGGTTTAACGATGTCCCTATTTCACCTACAAACATGCAACCAATGAAAACACTGGAGCCTACAATTATGGTCAGTTTTAGCAGACTATGGTTCCCTATTTCTTAATATAGGAAAATCTCAACTTTTATTAAACAAAACAACTATTGCAGAATATCACTAAGATATTCCATTTTATTTCCAAAGGCATTTGATGATTGTGATATTAGTTTTTAATTTGATTTTCCGGACTGGAAGGTATAAATACTGATGCTAGATTGCCAGTTTTCTATGATACCAGCATCGTGACAAACATGTGTCCACTATATCATAATATTGGTGAAACAAGTGCTGACTACCTAAACAAGAGAATATTGAAAATGTGAGAGTATTGTTAATATTTGTTTCATTTTATAATTTAAAAAATTTTTTTATTTGTTTGACATTACTATTTATGAATTAACAACATCAAGTACAACTCAACACAATTCCTAACTAGAAAATTTAAGGAAATTGATTTAGATAAAATTTTAAACAATTGGATCAAGTCATTTTCAGATCAGTGACCTCTGATCTTAGTTTATTTATCACAAGTTTTGTCTGAACAGCAAATCTAATATTAGAAAACATACTTCATCAACTAAGAAAGCACATACTTCCAATGAACATATTGCAGCGATATAAGCACTAACCACAGCCATTTCTAAAAAGCGTGTGCAAATTAGGTTTAGCGATTTGAATATATGAATGGATCTTTCAAATAATAATTTCCCTAGTACACTACCCCTATAGTTCACAATACCACATAATTGGGTGTTGTTTGGTTGATGAGTAAAGCGGTTCATCCAAATGATCAAATTTCAAAACACACAATCAGCTTTATACCAACTTTTATACTGTGTCTCAAAGTACCACAATATAATCAAGTGCTTTGAATACAGATGGAACAAAGAGAGTAACACATGAAACATTTACAAACATCAAACTTAACACCACAGAGGTCAAGCACCTGAAAGCTTCTACTTCCTACTGCTAAATCTCTATTGCCCAAGTTAATTTCATATCATTATTTTTCAGATGATTGCCAATAAAAATATTGCTTTAATCATCCAACATGTTATAAATGCAATTACCTTTAATCTTCGATTTTACAAAATTGTTCATATTCTTTATGCCTTGATTAATTTCTGAAATCCCTTGTCAGCTCTTTCGAATATTAACTCTGGATTGTTTTTAAAATCCTCAATTACACTATGAATACATTGTAGAGATTCAGAAAAGGGATGTCACTATTTACAAAAAGCACTGAACAATACACGTGGAAATCAACTGAACAGAATGTACTTCATTAAATGAACACTGCCGAAAAATCAATTCATGCATCACTGATCATTTGGTCATGCAAGAACTAAGCAGTAAAAAGGAAGATTGAAGGATATGACAAAGTAAACATTCCTATCAGTCAAACTAGACAAAGATCAAGTTCAGAGGATCTACAGATATGGCAGACAGAAAATAGCTGAAACGCTCATTCCAATACAAGCATAACTTCAAAAATAACTTCATCATATTTTATGTGACCCTTTCAAAATGACACAAATTTGGTAAAGCACTACTACTTCTCCAATCTCCATGCACACACTGACCTTTTTGCTAAACTCCACTACAACTCCATGCACTCACTGACCCCTCTGCTACTTCCTTATACAGCGCTGTGCATTCATTGACCTTTCTAGCTCACCCTACTACAGCTTTGCACACTCACAGACTTTTGGGTCACTCCTGCACACTCACAGACTTTAGGGTCACTCCCAACTACAGCTGTGTGCTTTCACTGACCTTTGTACAACTCCTACATTAGCTCAACTCAATGGCCTTTGTTCTACTTCCTACTACTGCTGTTTGCACCTACTCACCTCTTTGCTATGCCCTTTACTACAGATGTGTGCACTCACTGACCTTCGTACCACTCCCTACTACAGCTCAACTATTTGGCCTTTGTTTTACTTCCTACTACTGCTGTTTGTACCTACTCACCTCTATGCTATGCCCTTTACTACAGATGTGTGCACTCACTGACCTTCGTACCACTCCCTACTACAGCTCAACTATTTGGCTTTGTTTTACTTCCTACTACTGCTGTTTGCACCTTCTCACCTCTGTGCTACACTCTTTACTAAAGCTGTGTGCACTCACTGACCTTTGTGTGATTCGCTACTACTTCCACTTCCACTGCTTCCCTGTGTCATGATATCGCGGTCAAATCTGCTCATGTCTGCAGAGTTTCGTTTCAGGTGTGGGTCTACAGGTGTGCCCGACCTTGGGCTACGTACATGTCCCTCAAACAGGCTCTCCCGACTTGCTGCTAAGGATGGTGGTGCACTCATTTGTCTTGTCTGCTCCTGGTAAAAACAATGTTAAACATAAATATTTCATACCTTGGCATGACTAACTAACGAAACTATCCTTGATCACAAAATGCTGAATACCCTTCTACAAGTTCAGCAGACAGCACATTCTGATTGTATATGCTGAACCCATGATATTACCACATAGTTTATAGCAAGGAAATATAAGACTTTTGAAAATATCCCTTTTGTCTAATTCAAATAATCCTTATCACGAATTTACATACTGTGGCAAGTGTTTTTAGTTGATCTTTACATAAACAAGTTTTCCTAAAGGTGACTTTTCATCAACTGACATAAAAATAATCATTGCCTTCATGCATACGTTTTGTTATTTCATTTTTTGACAATACAAATCACTATGTTCAGCTCTTAGAAATGTTTATAAAACCTTGTTTTGGAATAGTTAAAAAATGAACAGCAGTACAGTATGACAAATTACACTGCCTATAACTGGAATGATAATGAGCAAGACACTTCAATATTACATGCTTGTTAAAATTTGTACTAAGTATTTGTTTGTCAGTAGTAAGGGCATTATCATAGTGTTCCAGAATTAGAAAAAGTCCCTTCGTTCTTATACAAACAAGATATCTGATCAGATGTAGAGCTAGATGCTATGATATTATGGGTTAAATGTGAACCAAATCTGTTGCTTAGTTCTCAAGGTATCATATCGATTCAAAACAGGATGAGATAGGACAGCTGGATATGAGTAACAAAATGTACATATCACTTCTACCCCTGTAAAATTGCTTTGGCATAAAAATATGAAGCATTGACTAGGAAAATTGTTACCTGTGGTGGGTTAGCACGTGGTGGTAGGGGAGGAGGGGACATCTGTTGCTGTTCCTCAGCCTCATTTCTGTCCAAATGGTGACGGACTGTGTCACTGATAAGTGTTTCAGACCTGGACTCCGACGTCTGAGGAGTGAATGAAGTTATGACATCGTTTGGTGGTGTGTTGTAGAATACTGTTGCTGGTGTGTTGAAAGCTGAAAGATAAAAATGTTTTTCTCCTTACAAGGCATGAAATGTACTAATCAGCATCAATTTTACTTTATAACAGCAATTTTTATTCATAATAGAAAAATGGAAGATTTTTTATCTGTGAGAGACATACTCGGTACTTACTAGTCTGTTACAGAGCGTAAATTTTTATATCAGTATAAAATTTTTAATTTTTATTTCCGATAATGAATTTCACAGTAATTGCATAATCCTATACACATTGGTTAACATTTCTGTCTCTTTAAAATTTCAAAAGTATTTTTTAGTAAACAAATGTGTGCAGTACAGGTATAGATAGTGGTATTGGGTTACTGTCAAACCTTGACTCACAACATAGTATGGTTTTCTATCTTTCTTTTGTAACAGAACGGAAATCTGTTAAGGAATGAAATCATTAGATTAACATCAAAGATTTTCTGAAACGGTAATAGTGACTTTGAAATTTTGTAATAAGACTTAAGACTTTAAAATCTGTATGACCATGATCAATAAAAACTGCTTTTAATTTAACTTACAAAATTCTGGCGAACCAACTTCATCTTCATCGTCATAATGTGGGTAAACCAATGGCTTTTCAGCACCCTCAAAAAACTGTTTTACAGTGAAATATAAAGCAAAATTATTTATTGTTCATTCATTAAAAACAAATCAATCAATTCAATAAGGTTCACAAGGTCACAAGGTAAATTTAATGACCAATTAACACCAATACAATAAGGTCTTATTAAGTGTCACATTGTTGTCTTAATGACTCCTTAAAAGAAATTTGCTTATTAAAACAAATTCAATTAAGTCAAATAGGGATATGGTAGTCTTAATGACCCATTAACACAAGTATGACTATCTATCACTTATTTATCATCTAGTACCTGGTATTTCAAGTCACTGAAGTAATTGGGTTTTTTTTTTTTTGGTAGGGGTGGGGGGGGGGGGGGGGGGGGGGGGGGGGGGGGGGGGGGCATATTAAAAAGTTCTTGTATGTGTTTTACAAACCTATTACAACTCTGGAAGAGCCAAAATAGGTAATTATTGTATAAATTATCAACTTTCAATTAACAATCAAAATTATCAAAATTTACTGAATTACAAATCAAAGACAAAATTTACTGATAATTAAACCTTCCTAAATACAAAATCGAAATATATGAACATCTTCTTCGAAAAATTGTCATGGATAACAAAAGATGATGAAGATTAACCCTACCAGATTTCAAAGAAAGTCTTATGGTTAATATGAGCAACAATTACTTAATCAACATTGTTCTAAAAAGGGGCCATAACTCTGTTAATGAATCTAAATCTAATTTTAATGAAATCAGTATGAAAATCGAAGAAATCACTGTATACCTGAAACAAGTGAGACATAATTCTAGTGACTTCTGCCATGGATGGTCGTTCTGCGGGGTTTCCAGACCAGCACCTACAATATCATATCATTCTCACAGTAACTGTTAAAGATGTTTACATACACACCGAGAATTCCATCAAACAGATCATCTAAATCAGATATCTTTCAGGCAGCATTTTCTATCAAAATCTTTGATAGAGCATTCAATACTGAATAACAATGAGAGAAGCTATCAAATAAATTTGAAGTATTACATTTAGTAGTAAAAAAAAATGCAAAATAAATTTGAAACAAGAGTGGAGCAAAACTTTGCAATAACTACTAATACTTATATTTGAGAGTTTTTGCCAGGTAAGAGTGATGATTTAAGGTATGAGAGCTTTTGCTATGGAAGGCTGAAGTGTTTAGGTGTGAAGGTTTTGTTACGGAAGACTGAACTTTTAAGGTCAGAGAGTATTTGCAACAGAAGACTGAAGTTTTAAGGTGCAAGGGCATTTGCTACAGAAGACCGAAGTTTAAAGGTGCAAGGGCTTTTGCTATGGAAGACTGAAGCTCTAGGGTGAAAAGGTTTGAACTACATGTATTTCTACATAATTGATTCTAGTGTGGCCCCAGACTCCATGGACATATTACAAGAGGGCTACAGACTAGTGCCGTCTTAACTTTATCTTAATTCAACAGCTTGTAAAAACTGTAACTTTGTATTCAAAACAAGCACACTATTTCAGTCCCTGAAAAAAAATTCCTGAAATCTTACCGAGTCATGAGCAGCTCTAGAGGTCTTGGCAAGTTACGCACAAGTGGTGGTCGTGTACCTATAAAAAAGAGAATCTTTATATTACATGTACACAGGAAAGGTGGAGTGATTGTGTAGGGTATTGAATACTTAACAGAAAACACATTACAATTTCCTTGATTAAATACTATACATATTTCTCCTTTGTCACAAATACCAGGATGTGTAATGGTAAGAAATACATTCATATTTTCCTTCTGTTATAGTACAAGATCTCATTTTAGTAAAACAGATTACTTTTAATTCACTTCAGTCAGGTTAAAGTGTTATCCTGAGTTCAGTCATAAAGTTAACTTTATAATGTATTGATTGATTACCAAACTGTTTCTAGAACAACACATTTAAGTTTTCATCTCACATTCTACAATTGGGAAATATTCTAGCTTTTACATTAACTGACTGAAATGAACTGTGTGTGATGTAACTAACCATTATGTACAGCCCACATGATCCTGAAGGCAGGGCCACCAATCTCATCAAAAGGTTTCCTTCTTGTAATCACTTCCCAAAGGATAATCCCCCAGCTGAACACATCACACTTTTCACTGTAGTTACTACCTGTATGATGAAACATACATTTTTCTTTAAAATTCTATTTCAATATTTTAAAAGTCTTACAATTTGAATGAATTCACTTCAACTTCTTATTTCTTTATATCAGAGACTCACAATGTTAATATTGGTGATAAGCATTTGAGAAGGAGATGAAAATTTGAATGCAGCAGTCAAATGTAGATTTTAATGAACTCATTCAAAATGTAAGACTTTTGAAATATTATAATGGAGTGTTAAAGAGAATTTGAAATTTATTTGATTCTTTCCTCTTCAGATACAAATAATCCTAGGTTTGGTTTTAAGATCCAGGCCAAAACTGGGTACGGCATACAGTGGTCAATGACATAGAAGAAGAAATGGCAGTTGATGTTTAGAATGTGAATGCTGTAATGTAAATGTGGAAATTCTACAACAAAAAAGTCTTGACAACATCAAAGGACACTCCATGTGAACAAGGTCATGAGTACTGCATAGTGCCACAAGCGTAGATTTTACAATATTGGCATAGTTATGAAAGTACCCATTAGAGACAAGAGCATGTTTCAACCGGACAGGGAAATATCTACCTAACCATTCTACATATATTTCAAAAATTTATCAGGTCATAGCTACACCCTATGTCACTATAATACACACATATGGATCATGGGTCGAGAATTTGTGCAAAATCCCTGTGGATAAAACTAACTTGAACACACCTCTCTTTTCACTGTAGTTACTGTGTGTAGGAGAAAACTTATAAGAGTATCTGTAAATATCCATTTACAGGGTTTGTACATTTGATTTTAACAATTTCAGAATTCAAATAACTATCTGAAAAAAATGAAGGGTGAAAACCAATGTTAATTACATAAACATATATGTAAACATAATGTACTCTCCACAGACAGCATGGTATAAAATGTTACAACAAAGCATTTCATTTAAGAATATTTTATTGTCTTGATGTTGATGACAAATGGCAGAGCCTATGAAAGCCCTCTCTGTCAAAGCATCAGGAACAGCATTTTCTTAATCTTCTTCAATGATTTAGTAGGATTCATTACATTTTACATCATCCTCATGAATAATATAAAGTTGTACCACAAACCTTCAAACACCTCTGGAGCCATCCAGGCAGCACTGCCCTTGTTGTTGGTCATGTGTGTCTGTATATCACAAGCTGTGCCAAAGTCACAGATTTTCAGTACTGTACCACCCATTATTAATAACAAGCTGCAACATAGACCATTGCATCTCAGAAGAGAGGTACATTATATATTCACAGGGAAATACATAATTTACATCAGAGTGAGCATCTGTCTCTATTTAAAAGATATTTACAACCAATCTTATTCATCAATTGCTAAGAACTTTTCAGTACAATTATTAATCAAAACAGTTGCAATTACTTCATGTATAAACAAGAAGATAGGGAGGTGCATGAACAGTGATAGTCCCCATACTTTTATGATATTTGTAAATTGTCTATGCTATAATTTGTTTATCTATTTTAGAGAGTGTTACTGAATACATCTTTCAACAATCGTGGTACCAAAACATATAAATCTACTTCAGAAATATTTTATGATATAACCTGTATGCAAAGTCAAATGGGGATATGTCTTTTAGAGTAATCTAGAAATAAACAAGTCTACCTATAAATCTGCAATGTGCGCTGAAGTAAATTCTGAGTCTCTAAACCAGTACTTACTTTGGAGGTTTCATGTCTCTGTGGATGAGAGCCTTTGGCTTCATATTGTGTAGATACTCAACACCTTTGGCACACTGAAGTGCCCAGCTCATAGCATGGGCCGCTGTATAGGCAGGTTGGGGACCAGTACCATGTAGGACTAATAACACAATTAAAATGTGTGTTAAAATCATAGTCAAGTCTGCAATCAACTAAACCTTATCTAGTAAAATGGGACACAAATGTGCTCACTTCACTGTCATCAAGAAATCAACAAAGACCATAAACAATTTTATATCAATGAAGTGTTCTCTATTGATTTTGAAACTATGGGTAGGGTAACCTGACCATTATGGCCAAGAAAGCGCTTGAAAATCAAGGAGTATCAGTATTAAATTTCTCATATTGGTTGGGGTTAATAGGGGGCTGCACACTCATTCATGGGTGATGAAGAAGACTATGATGACGACAACAACAAAAAATATGAAAAAAAAAACTGAATGAAGAAAGGAAAATTTGAAATATTACATGGTTTCATCGAGGCACATCTATACAGTACTTATCACACTGAAGTTACCATACAGTGATTTTGGAGACTTGCATATCTGAGTCCATGGCATATGCTTTTCCTTTTGGACTTAAGTCAAATTTTGTTATCCAACTATTCCTCTTCATAAATGGACATCAAAATTTTGGAAATGGTGATCTGGATTCATCTGAAAAATTCTACAAAAGATACCGTTATGATAAAGGTTTGTACACAGATTTACTTACCGTTGTACAGAGATCCCCCTTCTGCATATTCCATTACTAAACATACCTGTAGAGAAAACAAGAGATCTTCATAAAAATAAAAATCTAGATTACAAAATAAACTTGTAGACTTAAAAATGGAAGTTAAACATTTCTTACAATTAAACCACATTTATTGAATGAAATATCTGGTTAATATAATGTTTTATTAAAGACATTTTTCATAAATTATCGTATATCCAATCAATATAATTTCATTTCTAGCGATAATCATATGACTGTTTTTGATGAAAAATCCAAGAATGCTGTCAATTGTAACAAGATAAACTCTAATTTTTTTTTCTGTTGGTAAATATCACTAACTTTTTGCTATAATAATGTTTCTGAATGCAAATAGTGAATTTGGTTGGGGCCTTACGTTTATAAATAGTTTGAACTTTTCATAATCATATGTACATGTATATATAAATATTGGAATATTAGAAAGATGATATACCGCTGGCTGTTTGGTACAGGCACCATACAGTTTGACAATATTTGGGTGATTGACCCGAGACAATTGTTTTAGCTCCGTAATGAAGGCAATCCTTTCTGACTCTGTCTCAATCAGCTTCACAGCTACTTCTTTGCCACGCCATTTGGCTCGACTGACGACACCGAAGGCACCTTTTCCAACCACCTATAATGAAAAAAAAAACATACACTAACAGTGATTTTTGTAGGATTCGTTCACAAGGGTCCAGAACACCCCAATTCCAAAATTTTGCGGCGTCCCAATACTTAAGGATATAATGAGGTTTCACAATTTGAGGGAGTCCAACAAGAAAAGCATGTATGAGTTCAGGACTCAAAATTATTTCTGAGTTGCAAAAACCACTGTAGACAGTATCTAAATCCAAACTGAAAATGAACTCAAATTTATAAGGACTAATGCTATATAATTTGAAATTTTCATCAACATTTAATCCAGTTACACAGCTGTAAAATGATGTCCTAAACACTCCATGGGGGATAAGTGGATTTGGTTTATATCATATGGAAACATATTTTGGTGCATTCATATATGTTTTCAAGTATAACTAATTGTCATCATCCATCACCACCTATAGTTACACCTTGATACCATGCATATACCAGTAAGCACAATTAAATACATATCAATATCTATAACCATATCTGCCCAGTCCCAACAAAGATTGCACTGAAACTCATTGCTGGTGGAGGGAAACCACTGTCCTATCATGGAGACAGAAAACCTGGCAGACATTGCCATAAGTGGAAGGGTGAGGTCTGTAGCTCAAATCATCCTTAATATACTGAATAATGGCCATGTTATATTATAAATGCCAGTGTATTTGCTTTTAGTAATTAAGAAGTAGTAACATCTCATTTGGAAACTTAAACATACATGCGGTAGTCATATTGAGTGTCTGAAGCAGTAATATGTAACTGTCATCCGTATATAGAACCTCATTTTCCCCTAAAGAAATCCCGTTTAAGGAACCAATTATCTGGAGGTATTAAGCAGGTCACCATCTTTGACATCTTCAAGACCTTGCTGTCCGCGACTGTCATCTTGCAGTAAATTGTACAAACATGTTTTTGAACCACTTGCGAAATATTCTTAAGTGGGTTGAACAAAACGGAAGAAGTGGTTTTCAATGGAAGACCTGCAAGCTTCGGGTATGAAAAAGGAGGGGCCACTGAAAATGGAGTGTTTGCGTGTGGAAGGGCTTTTGACAAACTAAAGAGGGAATACGTTGGAAAACATATCAAATGGACTGAAATTAACCAATACAACCGCAGAAAAAGGAAAATAACCAGAAAAACTATAACTAAAGCTAACGTGGAAAACCCCAAATTTATTTTTGTAAACAAGAGACAGCTGAAAATAAGTGGCGGGTATTCGGAGAGCGTGTGTGGGTTACCTCGTGACATTGGAGTTCGTTGAAATCTATTTCCTCAACAAAAGCCTGTGGGGCATCCATTTCGATGTATGTGAATTATCATAGGCCCTCCAGCCCCACTGTCAGGCGCTCTGTCGCTTTTCAATCAGGAGACATTTTGGTTTTGGACCTACATGAGGGGAGATAATCAATGTTATCAGTATGCAAAATACGGAATGGCAAAAAAGAAACGGATTTATATATATATATATAAAATAATGTGCCAGTGTATGACAGTGTTTAAGATTCCATATCTCGAAAAGAATAATGCATATGAATTGACATAACGATACCAAACATATGTACAGGGACCTATGTTACATTATCAATACAAGAGGTACACTGTACAAAGAAAGATAACTCCGACGATTTTAAACAAAGACAAATGCGTCGCAAAAGTATTTACACGTGAAAGTTTATGATTTAGTGAAACCTTGGAATCTCAATTGTTCATCTAGGTTGAATGATAATAATAAATTAAAAAATGCGGGCATGTCATAATTATAATTATCCTTTATATACTTATGGCAACACTTAAGTCGCAAACATCTCTTACTTGATTGAAAATTGTTGATTTTTTCATGTGAGAACTAGATCACAAGACGATCAAATTTGTCTTTTTTCTTGTTTTATCAGTTTTGATTTTTTTCTTCTGCTTTTTTTTTATCAGATTCCAGATTTATAAATGTGGTGTATTTGAGAAAAATCCATGGAAACAGATTAAAGTAAAAATTAACAAATTAATTAAAAGCTATACCTGAGAACTGATGAGGTATCTTACACCTGGAACATTGGTTTATTAGCTACACAGAGGCCACCACCTCAAAGTACCACTTCATCATTTTGACATAAATACACAAACAATAATCATTTGCATATTAACAATGACCAAGAATACTGTTTGCAGTTACAACTTTGTTGTACTAACCGCGTGGATTCTGTGACAGTTCATGAATTACATCAAGTGAAATGTGTAAGTGAAAATGACTCCCTTTTTAGTATAACATGGCCGGAGGAGTTGGATTGTCAATATACCAGCAAAGTAGAAAGTAAAGTAGTATGTCCCTTATGGTGGGATATTAACGAAAAGATAGTGAAAAAACAAACAAAAGCAAAACAATAATAATAAAAAAAAAAAAAACAAAAAACAAAAAAAAAAAAAAAAAAAAAAAAAAAAAAAAAAAAAAAAAAAAAAATAAAAAAATGTAAAAAAAGGCTTCAACTTTATACCCACGTTGTTTTCCCGTGTTATTAAGTATATTGAAGTTTTGTTTCAGAAGATGACTATTATTCCTTTTAATTAGCAAATATTAAATTCGTTTGCAGAAGTAGTTTGCACACAATTCTTGATGTCCAAATTCACCAAATGTTTTATTGTTACTTGTGCTGTTGCCAGTATACACTAACTCCTGAAACTGTCCATCAGAATGGGCCATTCACTAAACATTAAATGAAGAGAGACTATCCTGCTGGTCTTGTGTACCCCATACCCAGCACAATAAAACAGTATTACAGCAATTATCCTAATGAATAAACTAGATGACCATTTTTATGTCCACTTTCCTAAGTTTTACGAGACAGTTCTTCACCTCACACGCGGAGTGTTTTTTCATGCTTGCCGAACAAGTGGTTAACATGCATATTCCACTTCAGGTGGCATGAAAATATTACTCCTTGGTACTTATGATAGTTCACAGCTGTTTGTCACTCAGTAGGACCAGATCTCATTTATGTATATGCATTGTAAACAGTAACGGACTTAAACTACAGCATTGCCTTCTATTAAACAATTAAACTATATGTATATTGCATTACCGTGAACTGATTTGGCCAGGAATACTTTGGTCTATCATTTGCTAACCCCCACCCCTTCCCCCAATCCTACTCATTCCTATAGTTGCTAATTTTGTTCACATCTTTTTTTTATAAAGTAAGATAACAGTATGCCAGTTTTTGGGAAACTTGCCTTTTTGAAGAGGGGGCTGGTGGTTTGTTGTTTTGATGCTACTCACCTGTTGATTTGTTGTTTCGAGGCTACTCACCTGTTGATTTGTTGTTTCGAGGCTACTCACCTGGTGATTTGTTGTTTCGAGGCTACTCACCTGGTGATTTGTTGTTTCGAGGCTACTCACCTGTTGATTTGTTGTTTCGAGGCTACTCACCTGTTGATTTGTTGTTTCGAGGCTACTCACCTGGTGATTTGTTGTTTCGAGGCTACTCACCTGTTGATTTGTTGTTTTTAGGCTACTCACCTGTTGATTTGTTGTTTCGAGGCTACTCACCTGGTGATTTGTTGTTTCGAGGCTACTCACCTGTTGATTTGTTGTTTCGAGGCTACTCACCTGGTGATTTGTTGTTTCGAGGCTACTCACCTGTTGATTTGTTGTTTCGAGGCTACTCACCTGTTGATTTGTTGTTTCGAGGCTACTCACCTGTTGATTTGTTGTTTCGAGGCTACTCACCTGGTGATTTGTTGTTTCGAGGCTACTCACCTGGTGATTTGCTGTTTTTAGGCTACTCACCTGGTGATTTGTTGTTTCGAGGCTACTCACCTGTTGATTTGTTGTTTCGAGGCTACTCACCTGGTGATTTGTTGTTTCGAGGCTACTCACCTGGTGATTTGTTGTTTCGAGGCTACTCACCTGGTGATTTGCTGTTTTTAGGCTACTCACCTGGTGATTTGTTGTTTCGAGGCTACTCACCTGGTGATTTGTTGTTTCGAGGCTACTCACCTGGTGATTTGTTGTTTCGAGGCTACTCACCTGTTGATTTGTTGTTTCGAGGCTACTCACCTGGTGATTTGTTGTTTCGAGGCTACTCACCTGGTGATTTGTTGTTTCGAGGCTACTCACCTAGTGATTTGCTGTTTTTAGGCTACTCACCTGTTGATTTGTTGTTTCGAGGCTACTCACCTGGTGATTTGTTGTTTCGAGGCTACTCACCTGGTGATTCGTTGTTTCGAGGCTACTCACCTGGTGATTCGTTGTTTCGAAGCTACTCACCTGGTGATTCGTTGTTTCGAGGCTACTCACCTGGTGATTTGTTGTTTCGAGGCTACTCACCTGTTGATTTGTTGTTTCGAGGCTACTCACCTGTTGATTTGTTGTTTCGAGGCTACTCACCTGGTGATTTGTTGTTTCGAGGCTACTCACCTGTTGATTTGTTGTTTCGAGGCTACTCACCTGTTGATTTGTTGTTTCGAGGCTACTCACCTGGTGATTTGTTGTTTCGAGGCTACTCACCTGGTGATTTGTTGTTTCGAGGCTACTCACCTGGTGATTTGTTGTTTCGAGGCTACTCACCTGTTGATTTGTTGTTTCGAGGCTACTCACCTGGTGATTTGTTGTTTCGAGGCTACTCACCTGGTGATTTGTTGTTTCGAGGCTACTGTTGTTTCGAGGCTACTGATTTGCTGTTTTTAGGCTTTGGTGATTTGTTGTTTCGAGGCTACTCACCTGTTGATTTGTTGTTTCGAGGCTACTCACCTGGTGATTTGTTGTTTCGAGGCTACTCACCTGGTGATTTGTTGTTTCGAGGCTACTCACCTGGTGATTTGTTGTTTTTAGGCTACTCACCTGGTGATTTGTTGTTTTTAGGCTACTCACCTGGTGATTTGTTGTTTCGAGGCTACTCACCTGGTGATTTGTTGTTTCGAGGCTACTCACCTGGTGATTTGTTGTTTCGAGGCTACTCACCTGGTGATTTGTTGTTTCTACTCACCTGGTGATTTGTTGTTTCGAGTGGTGATTTGTTGTTTTTAGGCTACTCACCTGGTGATTTGTTGTTTCGAGGCTACTCACCTGGTGATTTGTTGTTTCGAGGCTACTCACCTGGTGATTTGTTGTTTCGAGGCTACTCACCTGGTGATTTGTTGTTTCGAGGCTACTCACCTGGTGATTTGTTGTTTCGAGGCTACTCACCTGTTGATTTGTTGTTTCGAGGCTACTCACCTGGTGATTTGTTGTTTTTCGAGGCTACTCACCTGGTGATTTGTTGTTTTTAGGCTACTCACCTGTTGATTTGTTGTTTCGAGGCTACTCACCTGGTGATTTGTTGTTTTTAGGCTACTCACCTGAGGCTACTCACCTGTTGATTTGTTGTTTTGATTACTCACCTGTTGATTTGTTGTTTTTAGGCTACTCACCTGGTGATTCGTTGTTTCGAGGCTACTCACCTGTTGATTTGTTGTTTCGAGGCTACTCACCTGTTGATTTGTTGTTTTTAGGCTACTCACCTGGTGATTTGTTGTTTTTAGGCTACTCACCTGTTGATTTGTTGTTTTTAGGCTACTCACCTGTTGATTTGTTGTTTTTAGGCTACTCACCTGTTGATTTGTTGTTTTTAGGCTACTCACCTGTTGATTTGTTGTTTTTAGGCTACTCACCTGTTGATTTGTTGTTTTTAGGCTACTCACCTGGTGATTTGTTGTTTTTAGGCTACTCACCTGTTGATTTGTTGTTTTTAGGCTACTCACCTGTTGATTTGTTGTTTTTAGGCTACTCACCTGGTGATTTGTTCACCTGTTGATTTGTTGTTTCGAGGCTACTCACCTGTTGATTTGTTGTTTTTAGGCTACTCACCTATTGATTTGTTGTTTTTAGGCTACTCACCAGGTGGTTTGTTTTTTTAGGCTACTCACCTGTTGATTTGTTGTTTTTAGGCTACTCACCTGTTGATTTGTTGTTTTTAGCCTACTCACCTGGTGATTTGTTGTTTTTAGGCTACTCACCTGTTGATTTGTTGTTTTTAGGCTACTCACCTGTTGATTTGTTGTTTTTAGGCTACTCACCTGTTGATTTGTTGTTTTTAGGCTACTCACCTGTTGATTTGTTGTTTTTAGGCTACTCACCAGGTGGTTTGTTTTTTTAGGCTACTCACCTGTTGATTTGTTGTTTTTAGGCTACTCACCTGTTGATTTGTTGTTTTTAGCCTACTCACCTGTTGATTTGTTGTTTTTAGGCTACTCACCTGTTGATTTGTTGTTTTTAGGCTACTCACCTGTTGATTTGTTGTTTTTAGGCTACTCACCTGGTGATTTGTTGTTTCGAGGCTACTCACCTGTTGATTTGTTGTTTCGAGGCTACTCACCTGTTGATTTGTTGTTTTTAGGCTACTCACCTG